AAAATTGTAAAAATCTTGATGATAATCATAGAAAGGCTCTTTCTGCCTTCTCTCGGTAACTTTTGGACGCTCGCGAGCGCGGTTTGAGTTGGTGGAGAGAAGAAGAAGAGAAGCAAAAAAAAAACGAGAAGAAGTTGGAATATGCCGGCCGGGTGTGGAGCCCGGGGCGCACACTGACGTGACGGCTCAACGGAATGCTGTCCGGCGCTGCAGCATTCCGATCCACCATCCAAACATAGTGCTGCTTGCTGTAGACGACTGCTCGCCCGTCCGTGTGCGAGTGTGTGCGTGTGTGTATGCCCATTAGAAAAAGAAAAAATAACGCTGCATATTGAAGATTATCGGGTTCGGGTTGCTGCCAAAATAAAACACAATTTGATAGATTTTAAGTGGAGAGATTTTTCCAATAACTATAAAATATGATCCCGGCGCATCCACCATTTTTGCAAACAATTGAATCGTCTAATTTCAAAAGCGGCCATCTCCAATTTTTTGTTTAAATGAGTTATTTACACTAATAAAATCGAAATATTACGTAGTATATTAGTGCAAAATTATATCCCAACAAAAACGGCTATTTGCAAGGAAAATAATTCATTAAAGTTTTATGTTAGTTTTAATAACTGTTATCTCCATTGATGTTTTAAGTACAAAAATGTACTTAAAATGCCCATTTCCCTTTTGAAATATATGTTTTTTTAATAAAACTTAAATCTGGTTACTTATTTTGTAGAAAAAATATATTTAGTTACCATACAAACAAGTTTTTCAAAATATATTTATTTTTTACCCATTACTGTTTAGAATGTTTTTTTGATGTTTACTTAAAATATTCTTCAAAAGAGATGGCCGCTTTTGAAATTAGATGATTCAAATTATTTAATCTAGTTTGCATGAACATTAAACTTTAAAAACGTTATTTAATAAAAATAATAACAGTTATTTATGTCATTAGGTTAAGAAGTAAGGCTTTTTGTGCTAAGCTCAAGGTTTGAAGGCCGACGCGTAGCGGAGGCCTTCAATTGAGCGAAGCACAAAAAGGCACTTCTTGGCCGAATGGCATACAACATTTTATCTTCAAAGCACTTTATATAGGTCAATTTAATTCAACATCAAAGCGGCCTAACCTCACTTTTTTAGAATCTCATTTATTTATTAGCTAAAGATTACATTAAATGTACAATAATTATTATTGCTTTTAGAAGCAGTAATAGTTTGACAATACCTAGCAACATGATTTAAGTAGAAATGGATTTTTGCTATTACATTGAATTCAATTAATTGTTTAATAAATAGGTAGGTATCTAATTTCAATTTGTTTGGATTTTTATATAAAAAATAGGTAGTTTGGAATGTTTAAGCTGTGTTTAACATTTAATTTCACTGAAAACTTAAAGATAATTTAAATCGTAGAAAAAGAATCGTGCATTTTCTTGGTTGTCTAACCTCACTTTTTTATTATTATTCATATTTAATTTTACAATAATTTAATGAAAAATATTAAACATTAACAGTAAAACAAACAAATTAGTGCTTATTATAAATAAATTAAACCAGTTTAGTACGTTAATTTCTTATAAAAGGATTAATTTGTCAAAACAATACCCCTACCGAGAAAAAATCGAACTAATTACTTGCCTCATAAAAATTTTTATCGGCCTAGGCCATAACAAGGTATTTCTTTATCGAATGTTGACAACAATAAAGTTTAAATTATAGACCGCGTGGAGATAAAAATATATAAAATATGCATACATATACAGGGTGTTTTAAATTCGTGGTCCGGACTAAAATTGAAGATTTTTTTGCATGCGTTGAAAATATTTTAAATATTGTTGTCAATGAAAATTGTAGGATAACCAAGCAGGAGATTTTAATATAAACTTTGCTATTCAAAATACACCTAAAGTTATGAACTTAATAAATTCATATAATCTTTATCAAACAATTAATGAACCCACAAGATTAACAAGTAATAATTCCAGTTGTATTGAAAATATATCTACAAATGAAGAGAATTTTATGACTGAAATATTGCATACACATATATACTGCTCAAAAAATAATCTTTAAAACAATTTTATTCAACGCACTAAACTTTAGAATGGCGCATTGTTTTTCCACTAAAAATAAATTTAAATTTAAACAATACATACACTTAATTAGTCAACAACTTGTTTATAACAATTTTGAACAATGACAGATTACTTGGTAACCATTCTTGATACAAAATAATATTTAATATTTTAGAAATTGTTAAATATCTGTAAAATTATTAACTAGGTATTGTAAATAGTAACATTAATCAAAAGGTTTTTTAATTTATTATTTGATTATGTAAAAATATACCGGGAGTAACTTTTAAAATAAAAAATGTTAGTAGCCTAATTTGCTCTGGGTTTTCTCTGGTAATTAGTTAAAAAATGAAGAATTGACAAAGAATCTTTTAAACATGTTTTAAGATTCCAAAAGTTCCACAGCCATATCCGCTAACCTAATATCAAAGGCTATATTTGATTAACGCGCATTTGTAAAATTCCAACTACAAAAATTAATAACCCAAAAAATATTTACTTTAGGTATAGGACATTGTATAGTAATTTTACTCAGAATTTTATTTAGAATTTAAAAATGTAAAAATATATAGGGTGTTTTATTTGAATTGGAATTTTAGAAAAATAGACTTAAATGGATTTTAAAATTTTTAATTGATATATTTTTTCGTTCCCCAAAAACTTTTAATAGACTACTGTGTATAATTAAATAATACAAGCATATTAAAAAAAAATCTAAAATGCTTACTTTTTAAATGTCTCAAAAAATACTTGAAAACACGAATGTGACTTAAAATTTTGTCTTGATCAAAACACAGGCTGCTCACTAGGGGTTGAAAATTTAATCTTAAAATATAGCTAGGTCAACACCTAGCATGCTAGTTTATTTAAACCTGTATATTTTATTGTGCACCTCCATAAAAAGTGAGAAATTTAATTTTTTTCAACCCACACTTCCTTTTATACAGATACCCCTGAAAAGGCTGTAATAATAACGTAATAACACTAATTTAGTAGGCATTCATATTCTAACCCCAAAATTTAATTTTTATGTCATACTTATCAGTGGCGTATCAGTTTTATTTTATTTTTTCATTTCAGGGGCGGCTTGAAAAAAGGGTGCGAAAATATGAAATTCCGAAAAACTAAAGGAAAACACACAAAATTAGTTGATGGTCAAACAGGAGGGAAACTGATTTTCCTAAATAACTGTTATTCCTAAAAAAAACGGTTTTTTTAGACCTATAAAAAATTATATTCTATTTTTCAAGCCGCCCCATTGTTTTTCTACAAGCAAATTCAATGTAAATTATAGGTAAAAGTCAAATTATTATACACCGCCGTACAATAATGAAAATACATCGGATTTACATAGAAAGCGTGTTTCCATCTATCCCGTTTAACTCAAAATTAGCAAAGAAAATGTAAACTTACAGGTCACTGTATGACAAGTCATATACATAACTTTTAATATAATATATGCCAAACGTCAAACCTGACAAAATGTCAAAACGCGACCATTTCAATGAAACTACATAATTATTAAGTGCTTAAAAAAATATTATAGACAACACCATTTAATTTAATAATAATTATTTTTGCAACAAAATTATAAAAATAGAAAATTATAAAAAATAATGCAAAATAAATGAAATAAAGAAAACTAATGAATAAATTATGTAAATTTGTTTTAATACAAAGCCCAATAAAAAATAAATTAAAGAAAACAGTTAAAAATCTATATAATAATTCAATTATAAAGAAATTAATTTAATTGTTGACTTTGAATTATTACTATATTTAAATGACTATATAAAAACTTATATAAAATAGTTTTAATCGTTTTAGTTACATATGGTTTAAAATCATCATCCGGTCTAAATACTTAATAAACCGTTAAAATACTTTTTAATAAACTATTTAATTTAGTTTAAATTCATTGAAGGAGTCTGAAAAAATGTATTAAAATATATGAAATGAGATATATTTTGATAAAACATATTATTAATATGTTGTCATGTAATAGAGTTCGTAAGCTGTAAGTTTAATACCGCAACGTCATCGCCCGACCACGGTGGGCAATGCATGGCTGATGACGTTGCGATATCAAACTTACAGCGTTCGAACTCTTATTATATTATTTGCACATTTAAAAACAAAATAATAATAATAATACTAATATAATTTTATATTTTTTTTCATTGATTTGACCGCATATTTTGATTTTATTTACTCTCTAAAACTGAATTAGTCAAAAATGACTCATTTAATAGTTATTAGTGGCTGCTTTGTCACTTGTACCATGGTTAATTATGGAATATCATTGTATCCCAATATCCCCTGAATCCGAAAATACCATACAAAATTATGAAAGTGGAGCAGTTTTTGAGATATAGTCAATTCCATATTAATTGGAAAATTGACTATATCTCAAAAACTGTTTTACATAAGAATTTGATGTTAAATTTTGGAATACCATCATGGTACTGTACCCTGTGGTACTCATTTTTATCTCAAATCTATATTTGGAAATCTGAATTTTAAATCCTAACGTTTGAACGAAGCTTAGACCTAGGTTAACTGCGCTTTGAACAATTGTAAATCGTAAGTATAAGAGGTCCCAAAATTGATCCCTGTGGTGCTCATTTTTATCTCTTCACTTGATGACAAAAATTAATCAATCTTGACCCTCTGCATTCGACCACACAATAATTATTTGTTAAATTGACGGCATCTAAAAATGTTTAAAATCTTTTATACTCATAAAAAATTGTTTATCTTTTATGGTAAAATAACTTTTAAAAAAGAAGTAAAATAAAAGGTGCTCTTTATATTATTTTAAGAATGTAATCCTCTGAAAAATGTCATTCAAATCCGTTCAGCTATTTTGGAGTTAACCCCAAATAATTATTTATAATATTGATGTAATTTTTTGTTAATTTCCAGATGGCGAATATTTGTTTGCTGAGCCGGACAGTAAATTATCCAAATATGCACCAAAAAGTTGGCGATCGTCGCACAGCCATGGACTGGACGCGAACGGGCGTCCAGCCTTGGCCTTCTACTTCCGAGTGCAGTTCTACGTGGACAGCCCTCTGCTGCTCCGAGACGAAACCACTCGACACCACTACTACCTTCAGCTTCGCCTCAACGCGGCGTCGGGCGCTGCCGCCGACCACGCCACGCATCTGGCCGGGCTCGCCTTGCAAGGAGACTTCGGAGACTACAAGGAAACGATCAGTTTTCGACCGGAGGACTACGTTCCTCCGAATATGCGAGGTCCTGCAGCTATCAGGGTTATCGAGGCTTCTCACCGAACACACCGAGGACTCTCGAAACTCGAAGCTAGGACCAGGTTCATAGCAGAAGCTTGCCAACTACAGGAACCTGTAAATGCTCACGTTTTTAGGTAAATAGTAGTTTAATGTAAAAATTAGTCTCATTATCCCCTTTTCACATTTTGCAAAAACGAAAATTTTCCTGATATTTTCAATTTTTCGCAATATTCCAACTAAGATCTTTTTTTAGGTTAAGAGCTTCTAAAGCAGAAGTGTCCCCGGGCTCCCTCCTTCTGGCAGTATGTCCGCGAGGGTTGCGCGTATGTCCGGACAACAACCCCCCGTCAACATTTTTGTGGAGTAGCATAGGAAAATTGAGTTTCGAAAGAAAAAAATTCGAAATACGTACTGGTCACGAAAAACTTACTTTATACACGAGCAGCGATGAAAAGAGTCGCTTGCTTTTGTCCCTCTGCAAGGCAGCCCATCAATTCAGCATGGCGGTGGCACCACGGCTTAACGAGGCCCGCAAAGAAGAAGAAGAACGTCAGAGATGGGACTGCGACCAGAGGGTGTCGGTCATCAGTTCGACCTCGTCGAACACCACTTCTGGAATAGTCAGTGACCGAGTTCATTCCGAGGATGAACTGGAGATCATGATAACGAGTCCACCGGCGCCTTCTACAGAAAGTTTGGCACTAGCTCACCTGCTGGACAGTGCGCCTGCTAGTAGCCGAACTTCTGCCGCTTCTGCGACGGCTGCACTAGCTACACTCACTCTTAAAGAGGAGGAGGAAGACCTTCCAAAACCCACTTGCAGCGAAAGCTCCGGCAAGACGGCCAGCAAATGCGCCGGGTCTCAGTGTAGCTCGTCGTGCAGCACTGTAGTTGTCACATCCATACAATCAAGTAAGCGTACATTATTAGAAATAATTGTAATAACATTATTAACATTTAATTCTTCTTGTAGAATCAAAAGGTAGAAGACCATCCACCAGCAGCAGTCTAGAGTTGGGTTACTCGCATACGGCTCAAAACTCGGCTGTAAGCGACGCCACATGCATTGAACTGGAACCAACAGATCCTGTGTACACTTCCGGACCAGCACCCAGCAGCCATACCAGCGGAGTGTACACGCTAACATCCAGTGATCAGTACACGTTAAGTTCTAGTGATCAGTACGCGGCCCCAAGTGAACAATATAGTTTACCAAGTGATCAAATTGATGGACATTTTCGCGATCGCACAAATTCTACGTTAAGTAATTCAGGGTCGTTCCACGGTGATGGTAGTGACCCGACCGACAATAAGCAAGCCTTGTTGTCGGCAGAAGAGTTGTCGGATTTAATTGTAGGAAGATATCCCTCCTGTAAGAGTGTCAGTAATACATTGGACTCTGATTCGGACTATGTTACATTGCCTCCTTCTTCATATCAAAGTTACGTGCCTATACCTCCGAAAAGGATCGACAGTGTGGATCATCGGTTTCGCCCCCCACCTCCGCCGTATGGGGCCCAACTCTCCAAACTACCTATGGGAGAGACTTCTTCTATGATTTACGAAGAATCAAGCACTATCTCCGAAGAATCGTTAATAAGACACCCACCGCCATATCCAGAAAACCATACACCAGTTCCACCACCGGGTTATCCATACGAAGAAGCGGGAGCACGGTTTATCACCACGAGATCGCCCAGCATCTTAACGGCCCACGCTAGCGCCGTCAGCATTAGTTCATCACCAAGTTACTCGACACCAAGTTCGGTACCACCAATACCTCCTAAAATACCACGTCACACTCATCAACAAGTAAACTCGCTCATTTCATCAAACAGTTATTTGGACGTATCTTCCACTAAATCCGGCATGTTAATGCCATGTTCATTTCTACCTCCTCCTCTTTCAACTCCCAGACAACCACCACCCCCTCCACCTCCTGCTCTAGCAACAGTTTACACCAGCCAACTGTCCAGATCACAAATAGAGCAGTACCAACAACAAATGTACAGTGATGTGGACTTTGTGGTGTTTCCTCTAAAAGAACCCGCCATAAGCAAACAAGAGTACTTGGAAGCTAAACAAGGATCTCTACTAGCAGCCCTGGCCCAAACACAACCAGTATTCTATAGAAGCACACCTTTCTTACATAGATACGCATCGAGCCAGAACTTATCGGACACGTACGTGCAGTTACCTGTGTATGGAGCTCCAAGCATCTCTTCTACCGGTAGTCTGGATCCAGCTCCTCCACCATTACCACCAAATAGACCTAGCAAATTCATGAGAACCCGATCGGACGACAACATCCTAAACTCCTTTGAAACCACCACCCCGCAACCTCCCAAATTCAGAAGACTTCCTCCCCCTCCACCTCCAATTCCAGAAAAACCAAGCAATTTTATCCGTTCAGAAACTGGCAAGGTAAAAAGTGACGGTGTTCCAGAAAAGAGCGACGACAGGGAATCCTCCTTGGATATCCGTACTCTCAGAGAGAAGAGCAAGAAGATGGACTTGCCTTTAATTTCGGCATTGTGCAATGATAGATCGCTTATAAAGCAAACGAAGGCGTTCGTTATGCCAAAACATCCTGGCAAAATGAACCCGCGTCATTCTTTAAGCAGCTCTCGGACCAAATACCCAGTTTCCGGTCTAAGCAGCACTCGCATCAACAAACCAATAAGGAAGACGGTGTCCGTAAGTCATAGACATCCCGGTGACAAGTTGCCCGAAATTCCGCGGGCCACTCCAAACAACTACGTCTTGACGGATTCCCGGGGTCAGCACAAGACCATGCAATCGCACTCTTAGTATGGTGCTACCATAATTAGCTTACATAAAAACATTCCAGTGCTAACTAGTTGACAGATCATTCTTTCACTCAGGGTGCCATCACTGCAATACGTTTAAATTTAAGGAGCAATTCATGTTTTGATTGTACCATATCCATTCTTCACACGTACAAACAAAATGTCTCTTGCTCAACTATCCCTGTAATACAGGGCCTGTATGTACATAAAGGTTATATTTTATTTTTGGCACGTAAGATTACAATATGATTTATTAGCATTAATGTATACACTTGCTCAACTTTTATTATAATTAAATAACTAATATTTTTATGTTTTATTTATTTCAAAATTATAAAAAAGCTTCATTCAAGTGTATGGTGCTGCCATCATTTTTTTAAATAAATTGAAATAAAATATCTTAGTCTTTTATTTTATACCCTAGTAATTAAAAACCATTTATAATAAAGTCAATAAGAGGGTAAGTCATATTACAAAGCAATATAAAAACACACTATTTTAATCTCTAGGTCTTTGTCTTTCAAATAAAAGTGTTTAATCACGATACTGTTTTTGAATCGCCCAAAAACATCAAAAGTTGTTTATATGGTTGGATCACATTGGTCTAAATTAAAAAAAATTGTCGCTATGAGAAAATGTTGAAAAAATTGTAAGTTGTAGTAAAGTCTAATTAAAAGAAATTAGAAAGTTTTAGAAAGATTGACCGTCTGGTTTCCGAGTAAAAAAGTTGCTAAGTCTACATAGGCTGTTATCGTTTAATATTTTCAAACGGTGTTGTGCATACGAGAAAAAACTATCATCGATTTGTTATTGTTATTTTATAAGATATTCGTTAAATAATTACATATCCTATACAACCCTCGTCTTTAACTAATGCATATCTTATAACGTGACATTGAAAAATTATAGATTTTTTTTCTCGTATGGGCATAGATGCCAGTAGAAGTGCCATATAAATTTTTGTTATCTTTGTAACAATAATATTGACTGAGACCAACTAAAGTTATCAATCTGTCATTCTGGTCTAGAACTGACAATGGGTTACGAAAACGTGATTATCTAGGAATATTTGGTTTAATTTATTTAGTGACTACTATAATTTGGTTTTTAAAGTAAATTATTTAAAAAATACAATTGTATTAGGTTGATTATTATAAGATATTTTTTTAATAACTAGACAATTCTTGTTCCTTTTATGGTTTTCTTATCTTTGTTTTATGCACTTTTCTTTAGACATTTGCTTCATTCATGCATTCAACATGCTGCGTGTTTTCTGTTGCTTTATTTTTTGTCCACATACTTTTTTTCTTTGTAGTGGACACTGCATATAGAACTGTCACTGCCACTGTCAAAAGCTAAAAGCGTGACCATCACAGATTATAAAGGTAACCATAGAAACCAACTATCATCAACTCGCAATGTTATCCTATTTTGTTAAAATTTTTAATTTAAGTTCTTGTGTTACAATGTATATGTATATAGTTAGTGCCTTTTGTATTAAAATAAAAAATAATTAAAAAATCAGTTAGAAAACCTATACCAGATACTTTGCTAAATATGACCATACCAGTTAAGGGTTAAATTGATTGTAAAAATAAAAGCACGTGATAAATATGGCTGAATTTAAAAATCAGCCTACTGGTACAGTTGTATTCATTAAAAAAGCGTACAAGAATTAGAATGAGAGAAAACTGTCAACATTATTGCGTAAAACCGGCTTTCCACTGACTTAAGTCACTATAACTGACAGTCGAAAATAAAAATGCCTCATCAGTTAAAAAGGCTCAAATAGTATCAAGAATCGAAGAAGAATGGTCAATTCGTACTGTGGTATAATAGAAATAAAAAATCTATATTAAAAATTAAGCAACGCTGGGAAAAGGAAGATTTACTAAACCAAAAAATTGGTTCAGGTAGTCCCAAAATGTCCACCCCTGAACAGGATGCTGCTTTTTGAGATATCTGAGGATTTATGGGAAACTATACAACTATACTATACCTAATATACTGTTGGAAAGATATTAATCCAAATATTGTATTAAATTTAATTCAGTTCATCCCAAATAGATTGGCTCAAGTAATAGAAAAACAGGGGTGCATGACAAATATTAAATTTTTTTTAATGTTTGTTTTTTTCATTATTAAAAGGCAATAATTTTTGTAATATTATTTAATTAACCTACGACGTCAATGCTCTTTATAACCTATAATAATTATTTTAATGACTTATGTCAGTGATAAGCCGGTTTTAAGCAATAATATTATTTTGACAGTTTTCTCTCATTCTAATTCTTGTACGCTTTTTTATTGAATACAACTGTAGATTGCACTTTTCAGGAAAAAATTGTTTTGTTGCTTTAAATCTCTTTATAAAACAAAAGATAAATTAATAATCTTTTTACAATAGTATTAACTTTATTAATTAACTCAAACAATATACGCATGTAACACATTTAGTCAAGCACAATGACAACTGATTCCCCAGGCCAGAGTGAAATATTTTTGAAAGAAATTGTATTTGGCAAGGAGCTACTTGTAGGACCGACGACAACTTCTCCACTGTATAACAATGTTGATAGATCTACTGTCATCTGTTTAATCCCTAAATTGCTAGCAACAACATATGATTTCCTTCTAGGATACCATCTTTGAATAACCAAAAAGTCGTCTTTCGAGTATTTCACCTCTGCGGTGTTCCTATTTTCGCCATCTTTAACAACTGAATTCATATAAATAGAGGGAGATTCCGATCGAAGCTTAATCATTTTGGCGATGACGTTCACTTGATCGAAGGCGAAAGTGTTCTGATCGCTTGGCATCCAAGGAAGTATTTTGGATTTTTTGTTTGGCCATGGCATGCAGGTTAAATGATGCAAGTGCTTCAAATCTTGTTTGTCATTTTCTGCATCTTTTACAGATCTCAAACCGATCTCATCGCCGTAAAATAGCGATTGTGTACCTGGTAGGATAAATTGTAGAATGGTGGCGCCCAACGTACCATTACCAAAGGGTGACAGAATATTGGCAATGCGATTGGAGTCAACGTTGCCCAACGACCAATGCACCCAAGGCATGCCGCGTTTAGTGAATAGTGTGCTGTTTTGGATGAGACCTATTTGTTTTGTGATTGAAACTACGCCTTCTTCTATTCTAAGTTTAACATCAATTAAATCAATGTTGTTCCAGACAATGTTAGCTTTCTCCTCCGGCATTGTACTGACGAATTCATGGCTTATAATAAAGATTTTTTCGGGACCTATGATTTTCTTCCATAACCTTAAAGAAGTGTGCAAATTAGGATCGTCCACGAAATGTTCCAGGCCTTTTAAATAAAATCCTTTGACGTTGAGGTTTTTCCAGTGGTATAAAGCTTTTTCGATGTCATTGTGGTCTTGCACCAAGAAAGTCTCGTTGTTTTTGTTGTTGATAACCATATTAGGGAGCTTTTTATATAGAGGATACAATGGAAGATCTAATATAACAGAAATGTTTCTTGAATCCAAATACCTCACCATCTTCTGAAAGTCATCTTTCGTACCCAAAACAGGAGCAATATCCAATAAGTTCGTAATATTCTCATAATCCTCTGGATAATTAGGGGTGTTAAAAATGGAATTTAATCTTATAGCCTTCACTCCTAAACTCTTAATATAATCACATTGCTGTGATATTCCTTTGAATGTCCCCACTTGCTCCTTTTCAATGTTGAAACTTGCAGGGAATATTTCGTAGAATACTGAGCCTTGGTACCATTCTACAGGAGGGTTGCATACTTTCGGTAAAGTCGATATCATAGCTATTACTAGAGCTAACATAGCAACCAAACCGGAAAGGAATAGGTATAGGGATACTGTGCGTATTAAGGGCCAGTTCCAGGACATGAAGAAATAGTCCTCAGGAGGATTCCTAAACGTGAGTTGGAGGGCTTGTGTTTTTCCATTAGTTTCCTAAAATATTTTGCTTCTAAGTTAAACTGCTAGGTGTAATGTTGGTTGCATATTGTATGGCGTATTTGTTGTGGACTTACTTGAATTGCTGTGTCTTCATCTTTTGTAATATGATGGTAAACATTTCGGTGGTTTAAAAGTTGAGTACATGCAGGTTCAGCTAACGCGGATGAGCTTGATGATGCTGAATCGCCTGCAGGGTTATCATCATCTAAAATAACAAAACAAAAGTCTATATTTTATGGTAAAAAAGGATGATTAAACATCTATTTGATTTAAAATGTGTTGCTTTAAAGCATCCATTATACAGGGTGTCCCCAATTGGTAAAGATTGGAATGAGGTAGCGGAGGCTTGAGTGCCAAATGAATTTTTCATTAGGTCAAAAAGTGAGTCTTTTAATGCTAAAATATCCTTTTTTTATGGCTAAAAGTAAATGACGTGATTTATTTTTAACACTGGTGCGAAAATAGAAAAAAAAAATCATCTGCATGAGATATATATAGCCGGGAGAAATTCCTTTTCATTTTCACTTTTCATGTCACGAGATTTAAAGTTGTTGTTGACATCAAACCTTAACAACAATAAACTTCATTAACAATTGGACTACAAAAGGATATTTTAAATATTTGATAAATTTTTAATAATAATATACAAAATGGGTCTACTTTTATGGTGTTTTTAGAAAAAAATGTGTATGATGTACATCCCAGCAAACAGAAAAACGTGAAAAACACGTGACATTTTGGTAATATTTCAACCAAAAGACGTGTTTTTTTACGTATATTATTTTTTTGTGTTAACGAAAATGGTTCCAAAAATCGACAGTTTTAAAATCAAATAAAAAAAAAAAGATAGGATAATCTATATGGGCGTTTCTCTGTAAACTGGGCAACTTGAAGTAAGAAATTGTCTAGGCAAGTTTTTTTGTTATATATTTTTTTTGTATTTAATAAATGTTATTCGAAGAATAAATATCGGTTTATTTATTAGTATAAGGCAGATGAACCAAAAATATTCCTATTACTTTGGAAAACATTGAGCATTTTTTGAAAAATCTATACAGGGGACTGTTTATAAAATCCGGAGACAAAGTTTAGATGACTTTTTTAGAATTACAAAATAATAATTATAAAAAATAAATAAGTCACAGTAACAAGCAAACAATATTGGTTGAATAATTAAACAATTAGGTTGATTCAAATAGTTACTGTCTTTAATTATTTTAGTCTGAAGTGACCATTTTGCTTTGGTGACACGTCAGGGGACTGGTTTTTAAGGACTATAAAAACGATTTTGATACATTAAAGTTTATTTTATTGGATTTTGAACGTCGAGCATAGGTAGATTAGGTTATTATCTTTTGAAGTTATCTACGAAATATTTATGATCTGTTATTTTTCTAAACAATATTAGCTTGAGACAATGAGTTGCCCAGTTTACAGAGAAACGCCCATATAGATCCACCGGTTCCATTTTTTATTGTACATACATTTAAGCTAACCAAATAGCTTGTCTAGGCATTAATATATAGATATTTAAAGTTCAGCTAATACTTGCTACTCTTTCACTTAACATTTCTGAGGGTAAAAGGCATAAGGGGATAAGTCAAAAAAGCAATTTTTCGGTAGAGACTAAACGTGTTCGCATTAATTCAGGAAATATATTTATGGTTAGGGAGTATACCCTTTTGCTAGCATATGACATGTGCTGGCAAAAGGGTATACCTGCTAACCATAACACGTTTAAGGCACTGCTAAAAAATTCATATTTTTGACTTATCCCCTTATGCCTTTTACCCACAGATTTTGTATATTTATTATATTAATAATTTCCATTCCTTTCCAATACTTTTTATCTTTTATTTATTTCATTTTAAATTTTCACATCCATATCCTCTTTATAATTTTAAATCATGATTTTTTCGAACTCTAATAATAATTCATAAAAGTTATTTATAAGCGATTTTTTTAAATATTTGTTTTCAATATGATTAATAAATAAATAATATTTGTCAATTCAAAAATTATGCAATTGTAAGCAAGTAAAGGTATTATTTTACCTTTGAAATGTATATAAGAGTATACGTATACGTATTTTATTATAATGTAGATAATAAACTATGATAAATACAAAAAAGGAAATAATTTTAAATTCGTCATATAAGTAGATAAATAAATAAAAATGAACACTACTTTGCACAATTTTGGCTTGATAAATTTTACACATTGGTTCGCAAAATTACGAGATCATAAAATGAAAAAGAACTGGTTATTTTTAACCTTAATAGAGATTAAATCCAAAACAAATATTAAAATTATAAATATATCTAACCTTGAACATCTGCAAGTTTATTCGCTAATTCTTCTCCAATGCTAAAAGCTGGAGATACGGGCTCTGGGGGAGGGTTGATCAGATCATTTGTGGGGGGTGATGGGGTAATCAACGGACATATGGACGCATTATCTTCCGCAATAAAAGAACTTGACGGCGAATTTGATAAATTTGCACTGTCTGTCACACGCAAAAATGCATCCATTTCACAACAGAAACTTGCACAACTGCTAGAAACCTAAAATAAGCATTTCAATTGTACGATTATTTGTTGAGTATGGTTTTATTAGCACTGTCTTACGTTGTTTGTCCAGATATCAATTCAATTGTTTTTTAATTGCTACAAATGGTTGCACACATGGTCTGGCGATCAGCTGATTCGGCGATGGTGTGGCGCCGCGGCGGCAGGCGTCGGTAGCGGGATATTGAGCGATGCGGGTTTGGAGGGAAATTCAAAAAATATAACCGCGCGACTAACGTACGAGGTGTGTTCAGAAAATAACGGGAATTGTTAAATTTCGCGGGTTCAGAGGGTCCGGTTGTCATAAAATTTTCTTTATTATGTTGGTATACATTCCCCCGAAGTATGATAAAAACTTTATATGTTTTCATTGTTTACTTTGTCTATGGCAGCCGCTAAGGTTATACGTGTTTTATGAGCTCGGTGATTTTTCGTTCGTTAAAAGAAATGGATCAAAGAATTTGTATCCAATTTTGCTTAAAAAATGAAATAAATTCTGTGAAATGTTAACAAAGGCCTATAGTGAGCCTGCTATAAGTAAAACAAGAGTTTACAAGTGGTATAAGAGTTTCCAAGATGGCCGTGAAGACGTTGAAGATGACGAATGCTCCGAACGCCCAAGCACATTAACAACCAATAAAAACATGGAAAAAGTGGAAGAAATGGTTATAAACCATCAGAGAAGTCGCTGATGATATTGGTATATCGATTGGCTTATCCCACGAAATTTTTTCAAATGTTTTGGGTATGAAACGCGTGGCAGCAAAATTTGTTCTAAAATTGTTAAATTTTGAACAAAATTTTTGGCCAAAAACAATACTGTAATGATGCCCCGGCCTCCATATTCGCCAGACATGCCTCTGTCTGACTTTTTCCTATTCGCAAAAATAAAGAGAACCTTAAAGGGCCGTCGTTTTGCAAGCATAGATGACATTAAAAGCGCATCGCTGAAAGAACTAAAGGCTATCCCAAAGATCAAGTTTTAGAAGTGTTTCGAGTATTGGAAGAAGAGCTGGCACATGTGCATAATATCCAATGGGGACTATTTTGAAGGCGTCAACATTAATGTAGACGAATAAATAAATATTTGTTTCAAAAAACGAAAATTCCCGATATTTTCTGAACACACCTCGTATGCATGTAAAGTTTTTGGGAATTTTTTCATACACGAATTACAGCTTTATGATGAGCACCAAACAAGTTACCATTGTTCACAATTATTCGTTGCTAAGCAGTCAAAAAACATTACCTTCAAATTTTTCAAAACATGTCATATAAATTGGAAATTCGAAAAAGTATCTACAACCTTGTTGGACGGCTATCGAAACGTGAAATTGGAAATATTTTTCGAAACGAAAATATCTCCAAAACAACAATCTATCAGACAATAGCTGGAATAGCAAGGAATACCTTTTAGGTATAGGGGAGAGGCAAAAAAATCGACCGTTTTTTTCGCTCTAACATTGAAATTTTATGTAATACGTAGAATAGATGTCTAAATTTTAGCCTTTTATTCCAATTTTAAAGGGTCATCATCCAATTTAAGGATTTACCAATATTAATGTCAGGTCCAGGGAAAATGTTTTTTTGTATATTATTTACTCCTGCAAACTATGCAGCCATTTTTTCTCGATAAAATTGATTGATAGTCCTTAAAGAACACTAAATTTTTTGTACAAATTCTTATGGACTCAAGTTACTATATATCTATGGTACAGTAAACTCATCTAAGGTGTCAAGTTGGCCTATCAGTCCTTCAAAGGATATCGTTTATTTTTGGGACACCCTGTATACTGTAAAAAAATGCAACTTAAAAAAAATACGCGTTTTTATATTTTTAAACTGAACATGTTAAATAGCAGTCATGCTTTTATTATAATTAAAAAAAGTCTTAAAAATTGATACTTCTCATTTAAAAAAAATCATTATGGTTTATTGCAAATTAGTTGTACCATTAATATTTAAAAAGGTCAGAAAAGTTCAAACAGCAATTTATATATAGTACATTCAATTTTGTACGAAATTATCTTTTTAGATAATTTCATACAAAAGTGTTCATTATTGGTTACCAAATTTTAGACTAATCAAGATTTTTACGATTTTTTTATTTATAGGAAGTAAATTATTGACGTCTGAGCCCGCGGGTTATCAACTAGTAGTTTACCAATATTTTAAAAATGCTTTTAAAAAAAATAAAAGGTTCCATTCAATTTTTATTTAGATAAATATTTCGGAAATTATTTATGCTCAAATCGGACAAATAAGTGCGTAAATATTTGCGCAAGTATTTGGCAATTTATAAATACATAAATAATTGCGTTGTAGTAGGCAAAACTACATATGCACTAGGGTGATTTGTTTCAAAGAAACATTACCATATTTTCACTCCCACCTATGTCCCTGCGTTCAATAGAGATAACTGAAAAAATAGATATTTCGAAAATTATTGTTTAAAATTTTTATTTTGCTTAATATATTACTATAAACGTGGAATATTTTGTCAAATATTTTGCAAGCATAATTGTTTTTATAATGTTAATAAATTATATAAGTTATAATATATTGCGTATGCATTTCCAAATTATAAATAAAGCTATAAAATTATTATATTTTTAAATATTTAATTTATAGCATTAAGCTTTCAGCAATAAGTATTATAAAAATATATTGTTATAAGCGGAATTTTTTATTATAGTAATTAATAATTTTGGTTTAAAGACATTTTGTTAAATAAAATTAAATATTTAAAAGGTAATTTTACTTGTTAAAGGTAAAATTGCTTTTATGGTGATTTTATTTTTTAAGATAAACAAAAAAAACATTTTTGGAAAAAATTCTTGTGAAGATTTTCCTTCAAAATTTTGTTTATTTGGGCATCCTTGGAAAAACCAACCAGAAGGCAACCCTGCTTATAAGCAGTATACTAAGTAAATAAATTTATTATTTAATACAAAAATATATAAATTTCTATTGAATTTAACTTGAAACTTTGAAATATCTCAGTTAGTATGCATTTTACGAAAACAGGTTTAAAATAAAAATTAAATGATTCGAGCGGGGAAATCAATCAGTACTAAAATTGGTCCTCATACTCTCCTCCTTTTAGGGGGAACAAGGGGTAACTTTAAAATTTCCAATGGAACACCCTATTTTTTATTGCAGATTCGGATCATTCGACTAAAAATAGGTAAATTATTACAGAATCGTATACAGAAGAAAAATCGAACAAAATTGATTTTTGTTCATTACAGCGCCATCTATTACAAATATGAAAAAATATTTTAGACGAATGATCCGAATCTGCAATAAAAAATAGGGTGTTCCATTGGAAATTTTAAAGTTACCCCCTGTTCCCCCTATAAGGAGGAGAGTATGAGGACCAATTTTAATAATAATTGATTTCCCTCCTCGAATCATTTTTTATGTTTTATTTTAGACATTTTTTCGTAAAATGCATACTAACTGAGATATTTCAAGGTTTGAAGTTAAATGACTCACAATGTTTACATTTTATAAAGTTTAAACAAAAAATTGAAGTATATGTTGGAATGCAAAATAAATTTTCAATTCCCAATTTAAAAATTGCAAATTACCTGAGTTTAAAAATAATAAAAATCACGCGTCAATTTAATAGTTATGCCTGAAAAATCACGCTTGCATTTTAAATCAAGCCTGTTTAAAAAGTGTATTTTGAAGAAATGGTAACTTTGACGTAGGGGGATTAAATTGTTTTGCTTTTTATTTTACGATCAAAATCATTATGGGATGGAAACAATTTTGGTACAATAATATAATAATAATGAGATATTTCGGGCACATAACGAGAATTGCTTCATTAATTTAAATAATTGTGTAGGTATTGGAAATGAAAAACCAGAAATAAACAATTATTTAGGACTTTGCATTTTAAATTTTGGTTTAAATGGAGCATGCATTTACTAAATGTTTTTGATTACTCCTATATTAAATATGGGCTTGTTTATTTTTATTATTTGTAATTAAAAGATTAAACCCCACAATTTTTCCTGAATAATATTTGTCCAATAAAATTAATATTAACACATCGTTAATGTTTGACCAAACATCATTGTTTAATGTATCCAAACAAAAATGATTATGAATCAGTATTTAAAATCTCGGCGCTCAAAATATGACAGGGCCGTATTAAGAGTGTTTTTATAATTGGGCTTTAATTGTGCTAATCGCGGAAATTTTACTGGTATTTGCTTAGTTCGGTCCTGCCTAAAGAGCATCACTCGTTGCAAAATGATTCTTCGCCCTTATCATTGACCTATTCACTATCTGTTTTCTTAAGATGTGTGACAAATTTTAACTATTTATTAGATCTCGACCACACTGTGGAAAACGATCATTAAACCTTGTGGCGATAACTTCACATTTGATAATTTGTGTGTAGTATGTTTCTTAGTTGTGTTATTTTATCCATTAGCATAGTAAGTTTTAAACGTTGTATTAAAATTTTCGTGGATTACCTTACTAATGGGTTTTAATTTTAGGTATAAATGTATTTTGAGATTTACAGCCTTTTGAAGGAAAAATTAGACCGTCCTTCGAACCCTTCCAAAATTAGTATATTCGTTGACGTGTATCACATTGAAAGCCCTGGTAATATTTTCGTCGACGTGTACCATATTGAAAGTCCTGGTCATGGCTCTTGATTTCTTCGCTGGTTGTTTGGGAGGTAATTAACTATAATTTCTGCATCATATTTGAAAAACACAACTTTTTATCTATTTTATCTTCAGTGTAATTTTATAATTTCATGATATTTTTTTTCAACATTGCATTAAATCCTATTGATTTCAATGATGTCCAATTGCAAGACACCGATATTGGTTGCCCAATTGCCTTTTTTTGGCAAAAATCGACATCTGATTTTTTTCCAAACCTTGGAGATTATAACATAACTCTGACTTTATCGAAAGACTTTTTCATAGTAAAAAATAAAAAGCACAAATGATGTTAGGAAGAATTATTATTTTAAAATGCGTTTTAATATTGAAAAACTTGTTTTTGACAATCTAAAATGTTGCCTTTATTAATTTTGTTTTAAAAACAAATCATAATTTTTCCGTTAAACTAACATGATGTCAATTTTCACTTAAATGTAAGTAGGTACAGGGTGGTCCACGTAAGGTGACCGATATACTTATCTCAGAAACTACTGGAGTCACAAAAAATTTGCAAGGGAGAAATATTCACGTAGAAAAAAATATTTTTAAAATATTATATTTTCATTAATACAGGGTGTTCAGTTTTCCGTGGGACGATACCAACTTTCTTATTTTCAATGGAACACCCTGCATTTTTTTGCATTTTTAGATTCTACACACTATTTTAGGTATACTTTGTAAATATATTAACTAGGAAAATGTTAATACTTTTTGAGTAAAATTAAAATTTATCAAAATTTGTCTAAATGTAGACATTCGCTAAAAGTTAAAAATAACCAACTAAAACTTACTATTTTTTATATTATGTAGTGTTCATCTCTTTAATAATAACCAAGCTACAAGTTAAATCTTTTTTTGTTTATAAAATATTATACAGGGTGTTTTCTATGCTCCGTTGAAAATAGCGATTTTAAAGGTTTAAAATCTTGTTTTTTTTTCAATGGAACACCCTATATATTTTTACTTAATTGGATAAAATATATAATTTCCTTTCTTTTTATATATATATGTTCTATACCCAACCCAACAGAAAAAAAAAATATTCGCATTTTTCGCAATTAGTAGCTTTGGACCACCCTGTACACCAATTTTTCATGCTGAAGTCGATTTTTGCTCTTGGCTAAAATAATTGAAATAAATAACAAATTGCTAGAAAATGAGTTTTATCAGACATGTTTTCATGACACTAAGTGATATTTTTCATTCTCAATCTGTGACTTTATGGCTTTTTAGTCACGGGCTTTAAGTTAGTTAATCGTCAAAATAGTGAAAAAATAGTAAATGTAAAAATTATTTCATTATCTTAATCCAAAATGATTAAACAGTTTCTTCACACCAATCTGCCGATAAAGCATTGAATTCATGCATTCATTTAGGTAGAGTACTCATAACACATCCTCTTCATTTTAATTGTAAAAAACTGCTTCTATATCGGGTTTAAATGCTTCTTCGATTTGTACACTCGCTCTATACAAATATTTAAATTAATTAGTAATAAATTATTTTTTATAACTTATAATATTTGTCGTAGAAAAAGTATGCTATGCAACTCGTTTATAAACTTTTCTAGACACTCATTTTATTAAAAACTCGCTCGCAAGCTCCCTCGTGCCTGAATAAAATTCGTGACTAAAATGGCGTTTATCAAATTTGATATATAATATACCTACTATTATTTATATTTTTCATATTGCGTATAGATAAATATATATAAACTTAATATTTTAAAACTCTTTCTTTTCTAATCAAAAATACATTTTTGTAACTTTGTTAATAATTACTTGTTAAAGGAATATTTTATGTCATTAGAAAGATAAGGATGGGCTTTTTTATCAATAGCAGGTTCAATAAGTTCATATTTAATAAAAATTATTTTGATTGATTTACTTTATACTATATACTAAACAACAGAAATATTCCTACACAATTTTAAATTTCCTCATATGTCAACTGTTCTGATTTCACAATCCCTATTACTAAAATTAAATATAACATTTATTTCAGGGTGTGCTGGTGTGATAGTTGGTCACCCCCTGGACACGGTAAAAGTACTCATACAAACTCAAGACTCGAAAAACTTGAAATACAAAGGGACATTGGACTGTTTCAAATCAATCATACGTCGAGATGGATTGCGAGGAATATACAAAGGAATGTCCAGTCCTTTGGCAGGAGTAGCAGGAATAAACGCGATTGTTTTTGGTGTCTATGGCAACACCCAAAAAAATTTATCAAACCCGGATTCATTAAAAAGCCACGCGATAGCAGGAGCAACAGCAGGATTGTTCCAGAGCTGTGTTTGCAGTCCTATGGAGTTGGCGAAGTCCAGATTACAAGTTACTTCGAGTAAAAGTGGACCTGTTAAATGTTTAAAGAATTTGTATGATTCCAAGGGGTTGAGAGGAGTCTTTAAAGGGTTAAACCTCACCATTGCCCGTGAAGTTCCTGCCTATGGTGCCTACTTCCTGACATACGAATACCTGGCAGGATCAAATTCCGAAGTAACGTCCACCATAGACATGCTCATGGCAGGAGGAGTAGCAGGAATGGTTTCATGGACTATAACATATCCAGTTGACGTGATTAAGTCCAGATTCCAAATAGACGGTGTTACAAACACAAAATACACAGGAGTTTTTGATTGCCTAAAGAAATCAGTACAAAGTGAAGGAATCTCCATTTTGTTTAGAGGACTTACTCCGACAATTGCAAGAGCTTTTCCTGTTAACGCTGTCACTTTTACAGTTGTAACGTGGACAATAAGGTTAATGAAAGATGAAAGTGTACAAGAAAAATTCCAGATTAGCAATAATAGTAATTATAAATATACATTTAATATTGTCGACAATAATGGGTATTCTGAGAGGGTGTCGCAATATTTTACTCCAATGGTTTATGAATAATGTAATTAAAAAACCATCCTAAGAGGTATTTACAATTAAATTTTTGAGATTTATATAAAAAGATCGTAGAAACAGTTTGTTCATGATATTTACAATTAAATTTTTGAGATTTATATATATAAAAAGATCGTAGAAACAGTTTGTTCATGATATTTTATTATCTAGAAAATATGTAAACAAATGTAATAAGTTTAATAAATTTCAATGAACTGTAGAATTGAGTTGAAATATTCTTTAAGTTTTACTAAATGTTACCTAGTTTAATAAATAACTTTGTTGCATTTGTTAACCAAAAGCTCTTATACACACATATTGTACAATATATTATAGTATAATATACAATGCATACTTATTTGTTTACTTATCAAGCACCACTAAATAATGATTAGGTGTTAACGTAAGAAAGCTTTTATGCATAACCATTTTTCTGCTTGATAAATCTTACTTGTTGTTAAGTGTATCATCGTAAAAATAAATGTGGCATGTCATGTAAAAATGCAAAAATAAAGTGTTATGCTATGCAAAGATTTTATTTTTAGACTTGCACCTACCTACCTAATGAATATTTGGAATTAATAAATATTAATTTTAATTATTCTTTAAATATTCCGTTTACAAAACCAGTTAAATATCTAAAGTTTAAATATTATTAATTTTAAATAGTGTTAAATAAAATAAAATTTTTTAATTCCAATGAAACCCACGGAATAAATTTTGTTGTAGAATTATCTATTAAGGTAGAAGATTATTAATTTAACACGTTTTAAGCTTTACCTATATTGTTTGGTACTGGATTATTAAATTAAATTACTAATTTTTGAAAATGTATTAAACAATAAAAGTTTAACCAAAACTACAAACTATCGGATAATTCCTAATGAAATTAGGCTAATGAACGGTTTTGAACAATTATTATACAGGGTGTATCTTAAATGGCGGAAAAGCTCTTCAAAATTTCAATCGAATAAGCATTTCTTTTTTTAGGTATCTATAGATACTCTCTAAAAATGAATTAACCAAAAATGATTAGTTACTACAGTTATTAGTGGCTGCTTTTTCACATATACCATGGTTAAACATTTAAAAGCCATTCCTTAAATAAAATTATCCCCTGAATCCGAAATTACCTTCAAAAATTATGAAAGTAGAGCAGTTTTTGAGATATAGTCAATTCCATATTATATGAAAAATTGACTATATCTTAAAAACTGTTCTACTTTTGACGACATTTTCGGATTCAGGGGACTATTTTACATGGAAATTGACTGCTAATTGTTAGGGATACAAATTGCTATTAACGAGAATTATATGGCTGATTTTTTGCTAGGACAATTAGTCATTTTTGACTAATTCATTTTTCGGTAGTTAATTTTACATTACAGTTTTACTAGAGAATATTTTCTATACTTTTTATAGTATATTTTTGACCTCACGAATTATTTGAAAAAATCAAATTAAATCAAGTCAAATTTATTTCAATATAAAATATACCTACATTACAAAAAGAAGACATTGGGCCACAATGTGGTGATGTGGTTAGCTGTGAAATGGGTGTGGATATGTAATCCCGCCTCTAAAACCTCTGCGGAACATCTGCATGGTAGCAGAAGTGATATCGCAGCATTCTGACGATCTTCTGTCTCCTGTTAACAGGGCCCCTTAACTTTTTGAACGGAGTTTAACTAGCTTTTTCTGGATGGGGGAATTGGGGCCAGCTTGGTCCAGGCAAAAGCAGTAAACTAAATTATTAAGCAGAAAAAGGTGAGAAAAGTTAAGTGCTGGAAGCAGGCATTAAGAAAATATAAATAAAAAAACTCTTTTAAAAAAATTGTCAAATGAAGACTTAGATCTTGTAGTGAACTAAATTCTTTGTATTTGCATAGAAACTGACCTGATATCCGCAACAATAGACTTATCAAATTTTGACTTTTCACATCATCACACTTTAAAAACATCATCACTATATTACCTAAATTATTCGTGTTTAAATCTTTTAATATAAATTGTTTCAATCTGGCGCAAAAGAATGAAATGGGAGAGTCCAATCTTATTGTGGGCAAACCCGTAGACGTTGGTTCAGGAAGATGCATGAGCATCCAGGCCATGCAGGCTTTGTTTGAGCTCAGAGAAAACAATCAACTTTGTGATGCTACTATTATTCTCGACGATGGGTCCGAAATACCTGTGCACAGGGCCATTCTCTGCGCCTGCAGTTTATATTTTAGGTAGGTATTACAAAATTTACTTAACGTTTTGTTGTGCATTCAAGATGCGTTTTTAGGGCGTTATTTACGACATCGTTGCATAACAGAGAGAAGAACAGAGTCCATTTGCCAGGTGTTAGTTCGGACATGCTACAAACTTTATTAGTGTACATATATTTAAGAAAACTTGATATAACCGAGCAAAACGTTCACAAACTACTTATAACTGCAGATTACCTAAGCATATTGGGAGTACTGGACTTGTGTTGCAAATTTTTGGAAAAAACCTTGAATCCTAAGAATTGCGTGGGAGTGCTGACGTTCGCTAAGAACCATTTTTGCAAGCAGTTATCTGATAATACCTGGAAGTATATTATGAGAAACTTTACTCAAATAGCGACCGTTAGTGATGAATTGCTAACCTTGAGCTTGCCAGAAATCCAGGAAATTATAAACGCAGACGATTTGAATGTTAAAAGCGAAGAGACCGTGTGGGAAGTGATTTTAAGATGGATAAATTATGATCCTGAAGAAAGGAAAAAAACACGTTGTTGCTCTAATGAAGTGCATACGTTTGGGGTTGTTGGATACTCAATTTTTTTTGGAGAGAGTGAAGGATCACCCTTACGTAGCCACATGCGAGGAAAGCCGTCCAATGATAATAGAAACCTTAAAGTTTTTGTACGACTTGGAGATGATAACGCACAGGTAACGCATTTTTAGAACACATCATAAAATAACATATTTATAAGTCAATTTCCTAGAGATGGAGAAGTGATCACGCCGGAAATAGCCAGACCCAGGGTGCCACACGAAGTGCTATTCGCTATCGGTGGTTGGAGTGGAGGTTCCCCCACCAATTTTATCGAAACCTACGATACAAGAGCTGATAGATGGGTCAAAGTTGAAGAAGTCGACCCTACGGGCCCCAGAGCGTACCATGGTACCGCAGTCGTGGGTTTCAAGATTTACGTTATTGGTGGGTTTGACGGAATGGACTATTTTAATTCTTGTAGGTGTTTTAATGCTGTTGATAAGAATTGGAAGGAGATTGCTCCAATGCATGCCAGAAGGTAACAATAACTTTTTTACGAATGGTTGACTATTCTATTCTTACTGTTTTAGATGTTACGTTAGCACAGCGGTCTTGGATAATTTAATTTACGCCATGGGTGGATATGATGGCCATCATAGACAAAACACTGCTGAAAAATATGACCATAAAACAAATCAATGGTCTTTGATAGCACCAATGAACATGCAGAGATCTGACGCTAGCGCTTGTAACTTGAATGGTAAAGGAGTTTTTTTTATTTTAATAATAATTTCGTGGCTTAAAAATACAATTTTGAATTTTGTTACACTTTTTACATAAAAATATATTATTATAAATAATAAAATATATTAATATAAATAATAGGATAATAATTTTAGTATCCAGTGTCAGAGAAAGCAAATATAATAAAATGAATAATATGCTGAAAAGAGACGAAAATAGAAAGTAAAAAGTAGTACACTGAAAAAAATAAGCTGTTGAAACAACAATATTAATATTAATATTAATTCAACTCTTTATGCACTTTAAATACAAGCAATGGTTTTTGCACATTTACTTAACCATCTAAAAATGTCAAATTATATTGTTTAATTGAACAACAAATATTAGTCAAATTAACAAAATGAGAATATTTCTTGAAATGTCCAGGTAACCTTTTTAGCATATTCACTTAACACCAATAAAATGTTAAATTAAAATAATTTGCGCTAATGTTGGGTTAATTAAATTATGGAATTAATATAAAGAGAAAGAATTGAACCTTCCATCGTCAGATTTTTGATTTGAGTGCGTTCCAACTATTTCAAATAGATATCGACAGACAGCTGATTCGACCTCTATTGGTGGTCTTATCAGTCACTGATAAACAGTGTCGTGCAATTTGGTGTAGTGGAAGTTCCACTGTGGAACACACCGAAAACAAACTGCTACCTGAGCTTATATACTCCTATCGTAAGCCAACTGAGGCGAGATGTAAGAACATCACGTGATCAACACCGTCTAATGACGTGGCGTGGGTGTTCGAAGCGCCCTTCACGGCAATTTTATGAATGCAAAATTAACAAATTTTAAAGTAACATTTACAATTTGTTAAATGAACAAATTTAATGTTTTGGATTTAAAGAGTAACTAAACGTTAATTTAATAGGTTTTTTAGGTAATCCTAAAAATTTCAGTATTTTATTCAACCAATTCCAGCTATTAAATCAAAATAGGATAAATTTTTTAATTCAAAAAATTCGTTTATGTTAAATCGATATTTTAAGTGTCAAATGAACATATAAACTTTGACAAACTCTGACTATTGCTTTGACACCAAAATATAGATTAATCCAATAGGTTTTAGATGAAACAACATTTTCAAAAATGACATTTAGGCAAACGTTAACTCAACTACATTATTTTTTTTGAGTGGCCGCCGAGATCCCCAGATTTGACGCCACTCGATTTTTTTGGGCTTTACTGAAACAAAAAGTTTACAAATACCTTCACGTTAGAGTAATGTAATCACAACGTGGTAAAAACGTGTTTGTATACAATTTAAGAATGTTGTTGACACTAAAAAGGTGTTCTTCCACGTAATAGAACTACCACGTGACAGAGATTTTGGCAATACCCTTTAAAGTTCCAAGAAGAATTTTACGTCTTCGACCGTTTTTTTTTTAATCTTTTCTCATCGAATAACGAATTTTATTTTATAAGTGTGAACCACAGTGTACATAGGGTAAACCACAAAATTATTGGACACTTAAGGAATTGTATTTATTTAAAATTTATATATTCCGTTGTTTTAAAGATTTTAGTTTTTTTTTTAATATATAAATATATAAAAAGAAGAGTTTGTTTGTTTAAACTTTATTTACGTTTACTTAAAAATGATAATATTTGAATTTTTAATAATAGTTTCATAAAAACATGCAAAAAAGTATAGTAATTGGACACATGAACCATAGTTATTGGACATACAATTTTTATAAAAACACAGCAACTTTACATGATTTGACGTTAAGGTAACCATTTAAAAACTTGTTTTTACAGTATTAATGTTAATTGTCCAATAACTATAGTGTCCGATAACTGTCTATTTAGCCTACTAGCTAATAAAAAATATCAGATCTTGGTTGATCGTCAAGATTTATTTTGTTATAGTATACCTTTTTGTAGGAAAAATTTATATTACTGGAGGATTTAACGGGCAAGAATGCATGCATTCAGCCGAAGTGTACGACCCAGAAATCAACCAATGGTCTCTCATAAACCCGATGCGTTCCAGAAGATCCGGCGTTTCTTGTATAGCTTACCACGGTCAAGTATACGTCATTGGCGGTTTCAATGGCATATCGAGGATGTGCAGCGGCGAAAAATTCAACCCGCAAACGAACACCTGGACTCCCATACCCGATATGTACAATCCCAGAAGTAATTTTGCCATCGAAGTTATTGACGATATGATCTTCGCTATTGGAGGTTTCAATGGTGACTAGACACCTGCATATTTTAACAGTTTTTGCCATCCCAACTGTGTCTATATCATGACGCGGTTCTACATTAGGACAGATTTCAAACTGGAACAGGTTCCATTCTGTGATAAATTTTGAAAACTGTCTTATCCAGTTTGAAAAAATTGAATCTTCACCTCGACAGAATTTTTGTTTTGAGTGCGTTCCACTTCAATCTTCAAATACCAACCTATATTGGGTCACATCAGTGTCGGGCAACTTGATGTAGTGGAACATACCCAAAACACCTTATATATTTTAGTTTGATACTATAGTCCGGATAAAAGTTCAAAAAACTGTTGAAAGTCCACAATGATAACTAAATTTGCAAAAAATGACTGATAAAATGTATTTACTGTTATTACTGCAGGTGTAACAACTATTTACCACGTGGAATGTTACGATGAGAAGACGAACGAATGGTACGAGGCGACTGATATGAACATTTACAGGTCGGCGCTTTCTGCGTGCGTTATCGATGGTTTACCGAACGTCCAGGATTACATCCACAAGCATAGAGATCGTTTGATGGAGGAGAAGCGACAGAAGATGATCGCTTTGGAGAATCAGAGGAACATGGCCGGGATGGCCAATAACCAAGTGAGTTTAATTAAAATTATTTTGACAATATTAATTTTAACAATTTTTAAACATAATTTCGCCAGGAACTCTTGTTCGCTGTGTTGCCACCGTTGTTCCTAGTATAAAGCGTTTTGTTCGAGTGTGCTTTGAGATACAGGGCTACCCGGCACTGATGAGAACCAACAGTCCGATACAGGCTGTCTCTCAGTGCCTGGTGCGAAGCACAATTGATTTTATTTAATAAATTATGCAATCAATGAAAGAGATTACAACTGAAAAGCAAAAATCTGGTAGAGGTTTTTGACGATTAGCTAGGAATTCATAAAAGTGGATCATTTTTTAAACATATATTACTATTACTATATCTGGCATTTAAATATTAAAAGCAAGGCCTACTTTATACGGGGTGTTTAAAAAACATGTTTGATTCCTTACCCAAAAATAAGATCAAAAACAACATGGCTCCGCAGATAATTTGTGATAAATGTGGAATTTTTTTTTTGTTTTTTTTTAAATTCCAATTTGCAAAACGCAATAAACAATATTAGCCAATAAAAATTACAGATTCTTCATTTGTTTTGTTTTAAAATCGGTCATTTTGGGAATACTACATTTTTTTACTAAAAATTAAAAAATATTTGTTTTTTTTTAACAAAATATTAACGAGATTTTATGTTATTCCAGGTCCACATACCTTTATGTAAAGTTTACAACCAACTATAATTTGTTTACTAATTGAATAAGAAGTTTGCAACAAACATTTTGTAGATTTAAATGAAAGGAATTTTGAAAAGAATTATTGCTTTATTAATCAATTTTCTAAACAAAAAAAAAATACATACCTACATAAATGAACAAAAAAATAACATACACACAATTAAATAACACACCATTCTGAAATCGTCAAATTATAAAGAAATTTGGTACAATATAATTATCAGTACTACTACAACACTTACTGATTATTAGTATTTCCTAACTTTAACCCACTTCACTGTATCAATACTCATTAAATAGGTATTAGGAATCCAAATAACAATAATAGATTTCTGGTAATTCATTATAAACACTCTGGACACTTGTTACGAATTAAAATAAAGTAAGCAGAAACATAAGTTGCAGACGCTGAATTCAGTTGAACTTGTTGATGCGTATTGTCAGTGGGAAATGTTTTGATTGACTGCCTGACTTTTTCAACGAAATAGTTTGTTAAACATTAACAAAATAATCTGTAACCTTTGAAATTAACAAAATGCTTACTAAATTGCATGTTACCTTTACAAAACGTTCGATAAAATATTTTCCTTTGTTAAAATAATTAAAAACCCTGATTTTCTACAAACAAAATAAAATTAACAAACTACAAACTCATGTTCACAAGTCTGATTTTTATTATATTTATTTTAAACTTGATATTTAACACGTTAATAAAATTATCTTATATTTGGGTAAGGACAACACACGAGCGATGACACTTTTTACCCGGTTTATTACATATATATATAGGAATTTATCCTTTTTTTATAAGCATACAGGAGTCTATTTATTTGCACTTATATTTATTTTATTTCGTCGCGAGTACCAAAGCTTGACTGTCTGTTCCATGCTGCGCTATATATTCAGCGCCTACGTGACACTAGTCACGCAAGCGTCTTCTCGAACATTCCAGCGAGCTCCACACCACTCTCGATTGTTCGAGCGCTGACTCACCGGCGATGACTTATCGGCGATGAGTCATCATTCCGAGATCCAGAGGGGTACTCGCCACAGTATGCTCATTTAACTGCCAGGTAGACTAACTAAAACTTAACCATAGATTGATAAACAAATAGTAGTAGTAAATATCTTTATTGGAATAAACCTTTCTACGCCCTAGTGAATTCTGTGCCTGTTTATAGTAGCTTTAACATTGATTTAACTTTATATATCTTTTATATGAAGGTATGATTCAATTTGACCTCGAAAAGAGTATAATAGAGGGTAGAAATATATGTATTATATTTATATCCTTGTTAAGTGAACCTCTATCGACTTCTTGGCCTTTTTTCTAAAACCGTTTTAGCCTAAAAGTTAATATTTAATGTAAATATTATTTGCTATTTTACTAGTATTTTTATTTGCCTATTAAAACAGTTTGGATTCCTCTAAAGCATCGTTTCTCAACCAGGATCGCCTTTATAGCTTTAAAAGAGAAAAGACATTATAAAATTATCTTAATAATCACTGATATTCGTTATTATTTTAGTTGGGCATTTAAATATAACATATATGACAAACTTTTTATTGTAATGTTGTTATTGTTAAGTTGTTCCTCTATTTAATGCAATTAATATTGATACTAGTATTTTTTTAGAGAAAATGAGAAAATTGCGTTAATTTGAAGGATTTTTGTTGCAACCTTGAGGAACATATTGCTGTTCCAGAAATAATTTGAACAATATGGGCAGTTACCGGCATAACGGCTTATTAAAGGTATGATATTATGGATTATTAATTTTTTCAAGAAAACAAAACTGTTTTGGTGAATAAACGAACAGCAATATATTCCTTTACTTTGTAACTTGACATCACAAAACTTTCCATATTAATTAATATTTTGTTTGAAAGCCAAAAGTTAAAAACAGTTTTATTTCCTTTTAGTCCATTATATCCTTCCAGGTAAACCAGCAGGACAATATGGCGGCCGCAGTAAATGCGAACATGCAACAGTTGAACCTGCTGCAGCAGCTGAACGCCAACTTGAACCCGGCGCTACCCGCCGCCCCCGAGCCGCCGCCGCCGCCAGCGGCGCCCATGGACGTCGACGATAACGAGGACGAGGGCGCGGCGCAATAGATTCGGGTTTTTTTCGATTTTTTTTGCAAAACAAAATTTTTTTTAGTAAGACTTACAGACTTACGCAGTGCACTGCAGTGATGTGTTTCACTAGTGATTTTAGATTTGAATTTTAAAACATAGATAGCATTATATTTACATACTTTTATTGTAAATATATATACATACATATATTTATATTTTTTAAAGAATATATTGGTATTTATGGTTTTGATTTGTTTTATTTTATCAAATAAGTGTAGTATATTTTAAGTTAGTTAACATTGTATACATTGTATATATTATATCTACTTGTGCGAATTAAATTTAAAACCCACCAAGCCTATTTTAATATTCCTTCTACATTTTAAGTAAATGTTGTATATAGTGTGTATTAAAACGAATAGATACACTTAAATAAAACAAGTGCCAAACCCCGCCCACTGTGGTAGGGATTGAATCAAATCAAACTGCATGCCCTTGTATCTGGCTGCATGCCGCGCTGTTGCCATATGCTATTATTGTTTCCTAAAAGGGTTGTTTTTTTAATTTTTTAATATTAAAAGTAAGAAAATTAACTAAATCAAATTATTTTTGACATATTATTAATTTTTTTGTTATTTTTAAAGTTTCAAACAAATAAAATTGAACTATTTATTAAATAATTATAATCGTTCTCTTCTGATTTAAAACAACCTGGCAACTATGGTTCGTAATTACGAATGGCTTACTTACTTGATTCTATACAGTCTGTATAAGTGGTATTTAAAAAATATAAAAATAATACATTTAAAGCATACGAACTGCACATTATTCTTCAATAAATAGTAAGTAGTTTTTTCATAAAAGAGAGGAAGGCTCACTCGACAAATTTTGCTCAAAAAGTTTCAATTTCACAGCTAAATCGCGCACATTATTTGTGTTTCGCGTTGTGTGAAGTGAAAACTGAAAAACTTTGGTATTGTACTTGATTTCTATTTATTATTCCTTATATCATTCATTAAGAAACTCAATGTTTATGTGCTTATATAGTTACGTTAGTGTGTGTATTTTATCTAAGTTATCATTGTGTTTTTAATTGTAAATGTAATTTAACATCTAAATCGTTGCATTTTCATGTTATGTTTTTTTATTAAGTTTAATTTAGTAATTTTAGAATTTAAAAAATGGTACTTCTGCTGAAGACCATAATTAAATACTCACACTGTCAAATTGACAGTAATATTTATTATTGATAATTTACTTATTAATTATTATATAATATCGATATAATAGATAACTATGCCAAAAATAATATCAGATTCTAAAGTAAAAGAACTTTTAAGGGCAAAACTTAATTTCGATAAAGTTATGAGAAATGCCTCAATGGCAGAAAAAATACATCGCCTTATGGACATTTTTGGAGTAGGAATACTTTGTCTGTCCTGGGCCGTAGTTCACCTATATTTTACTACTTTTTTAAATGACTACTCACAATCCACACAACAAGGTCTGTTCGATCTCGTAGTAAAAATACTTAAAATCACTGCAACACTGCACACTATACGATGGCGGCCATTTTTGTTGTTTACAATTCTTGTGCTTTGGGTTTGTACAGTTTAATAATCGTTTTAAACGTGTTTCTTACAGAGAGACTTGCAAGCCTTAAAAGAGACCTCAAAGTGGTAAGAATAATCATTTTACTCCTCTTTTGTAAAAAATTAACCTTATTTTATCAGGGCTGTCAAATGTCAATTTGAAGGTTAATTTAAGGTTATTTTATAACCCACAGGTAAGCTTGTTTCTACTGAGCATGTTTACTTTAGACACTCAAAGACATGTGCAATAGTAAAATCGCATGCACAATTTGAAAATATTACCGCTATTTCACCTCCATCCGAGAATCCAAATGCTCGGTGGGAATAGTTTGGCAATGGACCAAAAACAACTTCCGATTGCAGCGTGTGGCGAATGCCTTTGGCATTTCGATTAATAAAGTGGGCAATGCTTTGCGGAAAGCACAAGCATTAGACGAGGCCCCAGTCCAACCTTCTGGCAGCAAAATAAAGACCAAGTTTCCATACTCACGTCATAAAAAATTAAAGACCTCGGATTTACCAGAAGCCTCCAAAATGGAAATAAGGAAGGCAATTTATGACATGCATGCCGCAGGTTGGTTTATAGTTATTTAGGTCACAATGACCAACAATAGTGGTTCTGCATTGATGTGTTTCATTTGTAGAAAAGCACTTAACCCTGAATACTCTTAATGAGCAGCTCAAATTAAAGGAAATTGTTGACATAAGCAGAAGTTCTCTGTACAGCTTGCTTCAGGAAATAGGTTTTACGTATAAAAAGTATAATAACAGAGTTGCTTTAATGGAGCAGCAGGACGTGGTGTTTCGCAGGGCCGAATTTCTGCGGCAGTACATCCTAAACGCCGAATTTAAACGCCAAGTTGTGTTTTTAGATGAGACGGATTTTTTCAAGAGACTCATGTAAACGTTCATGGCAGGATTGAACAGCGAAGGGGGTGCGCCGTCCAAGTGCAAGTGAGGAAAAGCGTTTTATTATACTCTATGCAGGCCATTAGGGTAGTTTTGTTGATAACGCCTCCCTCATTTTTGGGACTAAATCGAAGCTGGCAGATTACCACGGGGACATGAACGGTAAATTATTCGAAAAGTGGGTAGCTGAAAAGTTGGTGCCAAATTTAAAGGAACCTTCACTGATTGTTACGGACAACGCTCCTTACCACAGCGTCGTTGTTGAGCGTCACCCTACAAGTGCTTGGAAAAAACAGCAAATAGAAGAGTGGCTAACAGAACATAATATTCAGTTTATCAAAGGTATATTTAAAGCGGAATTGCTGTTCCTGGCACGCTACCACACCCCGCCTAAGCGTTACAAAGTTGATGAGTACCTCCAGCAGCATGGGCATGAGGTTTTGCGTCTGCCTCCATATCACTGCCAGTTTAATGCCATTGAACTTACATGGGCGCAGGTACATACATAAACAATAAGATGGGCGCTTGCAACAACGAATTCTGTTTTAGGCCTAAACATATTATGATTCCCACATGGGAGAAGACGGCTATGGCGACAATAAAGTGCTAGCAATGTGGGGCCAAAAATAATTGGAGAATCGTATAGGTACAGAAGAAAAATCGAACAAAATTGATTTTTTTTTCATTACAGCGCCATCTATTACAAATATGAAAAAGTGTTTTAGACAAAATCTAACTATTGGAAATTTTAAAGTTACCACCTATTCCCCCTATAAGGAGTAGAGTATGATTCTACGTGCAAAAATAAGAAAAAAGTCCCTATAAATTTAGGTCGAGAAATGCCTCCTAAGGGAGCTACAGCCCCCGAAAAGGGAGCCCCTGAAGATGGTTTTTATCTAATATAAATAAAAAAAGTAGAAACACCCTGTCACTTACTACATGAAACTGTCACCTGTCTTGAATTATTCTATTTTTTCCTAAACATGGCAGCCGTATTCCAAGGACCACGCGAGTCCATTTCTATGGTTGTGATTTAATTGTGAATTTTTATGCCATGTAAAATAATTTTCAAATCGATTTTATGCGAAAACGGTGTATGTTATCGAAGTTCAACAAGATGACCTTTTTTATGTGCAAAACTCTAAAATTTCATAATCTGACACCAAATTCTGGTACAAGATATGTACAAAAAAGTTAAGGTGGTTTTAACCCTACTTCCTATCAATCTGACCCAAACCTCATAAAAATTTTTAAATTATTATTGTACGTCTTATTGGTCATAAAAAGTTTAACTAATTCCCCAAATTTCACTTTTATATCTTTAACGGTTTTGGAGATATTAAATAAAAACCATCTTCAGGGGCTTTCCTTTTGGGGGCTGTAGCTCCCTTAAGAGGCATTTCTTGACCTATGTTTATAGGGACTTTTTTTCTTATTTTTGCACGTAGAATCTGCTGTTAAAGTATGGTGCACTAATTTCAGGACACCCTGTATATAGGTATATATATAGGTATGTGGGCGAGAAAACATTGTACAACAGTAGGTGGTACATATTCCTCTTTTATAGTGATTTAATTTAGCTAAGCTTTAAAATACTGAACTGCTTTAGTATCGATAACCGCGTAAAATCGATATAACATAAAATGGACAAGATGATATATATTTATGATGAATTTTAGGATACTGTATCCGATATCCGATACACTGTTTAAAAACTTTGTGCAGCATAGTACTACTTATTTTGTTACGTAAATACTTATTATCAAATACTAAATTTAAAACCTGTTTTATGGTCATACAAAAGAAATCGTTTATAATTTCGTTAAGAATTTGTCAGAAAACCCCAAAGAGGGGACGAAAATCTTATTGTAGAGAATTTTTGGAATTCCTTATTTTTGTTTCATTCCTGTTTTAAGTTTATATTGCATTATAAATTTGTTAAAACTAAGCATAAGAATATTTATACCATGTTCCTATTTAATTTTATTTCATGGATAACTTGACAGAATGCATTTTTATAAATAGAAATTATTGTGCATTTTTAATTTAGCTACGAAATTGTTACTACTTAAAAATTTTTAATAAAATTTAGTTTAGGGTCGTTTTGAGGGGTGGTGATTTTAGTGCCGTGCTTAGATTTTTTTTAAATCGCTAATATGAGTTCTTAAAAATTTACTCTGAAAACCTGACATAGTAGGACTTGTATTTTGTAAAAATATGGTATTTTTGCTCCAAAAATAGTTTATAAAGATCTACACTTGAATCCGGTTGAAATCGCACAATAAATAAAGATTACAGAGGTGTATACCTACGTATTTTATAAAATTTAGCTGCACTTACTTAATTGGGAACAAAAAACACATTTACTTAAATATTAGGCATTGCAAAAATTGGCGGATGCGCCGGGATTACATTTAAATATTAAAAGCACCGTGAAACCTATGCGTTTTCCATTTATGTAAGGCGTCTTGATTAACTGCATACATTGCGTTTGTCAGTTTTAAGAATACACCCACTGATTTGTTGTTGTGAATTTACCGATTATACCACATTGTTGATTCCATTTAAAAAGAAAATTTTAAATAGACTGCTTATATAAATATATTATAATCACAATTAGAAAAACTTGTAAACACGTGTTTTTCCTAGTATTAAATGTAATTTATATTTAAACCATTTTATTATATCACAGTAGAAAAAAAAAAGTTTTAACTTTTATAACTTGGAAACTGTTTAATTCACAGAATAAGGAATCATATATTTTTCAAGATAATTATGTATGTAAATTAAGCCGTTTCAATGATATCAAGTTTTGGACGTTCCTGTATGTTTAATAGACAAAATATTTTTTGTTTTTACATAATACAAAAATTATGTTTTTTTTAAGTAAAAAAAATAATTTTGGTTTTAATTTTTGATTTTTTTTAATAAAACAACAGATTTGTATGTATCTTATATTAAATATATTTTGGAAACAAATTTGGATCTTTTAGTTTGACACAACCTAAAAACACTACTTGATATACAGAGTGTTTCACATTCGTGGTCCATTGGAAGTTTCTGGGGAACAAAAACAAATATCGATTTAAAATTTAAAAGCGTTTGAACAAAATGCCACTTCCTGTTTGACCGAAACTTTGTTATTTCAAATAGAAATGTTTTTTATTTTTCTATTTGATTATGTAAAACATACAGGGTGTTTTATTTAAAATAAAAAATATAAATAATATTAACGTTTCAAGTTAGCCTAATTTGCCCTGGGTTTTCTTGGGTATTTTGTTAAAAAATGTTAAAGAATTGACATGGAATCTTTTAAACAATATTTTAAGATTCTAAAAATTCCACCCCCATTTCGGCAAACCTAATAGCAAAAAATTCTAGGCTATTTTTGATTGTCAAATTTTAACTAAAAAAATTAATACCTCGAAAACTATTCACTTTAGGTATAGGACATGGAACAGTAATTTTACTCAAAATTTTATGTAGAATTTAAAAATTTTAAAATATATGGGGTGTTCTATTTAAAATAATAAAGTTGATATCACCCAAAATGTTGAATTCTTCAAGGAAACCCAAGGCAATATTACATAATGATTAAATAAAAACAAAACACAAAGTTTCACTTATTAATTTTCAAAAAATAAAAATAAAAATCTTGATATCGTCACCTAAATGTGTAAAACTGCCAATTCCATTTTAGAATTTTTTTCAGTTTTTGCATTTATTTCAGTTTTTGAACTGAAAAATTAAAAAAATGGACTTTACACAGTTTTACACATCTAGGTGACATACTATGCGTACTAATTATTATTATTTTTTTAAGTTTATGTAAGGCGTTATAATTAACAGAAAACATTACTGATTATATTATTAAGACGCACAGATCATAAAGGTTAAGACGTTCTGGATTGTACATTTCTCATGTTACAAGTTTGTCTCTGGAAATCTGCAAAAGAAGTTTATAAAAAAAGCAATTAGAAAAATATTAATAGGCTGTTATGGTTATAACATATTTAACCTTAACCTATAGAATAATATTTATATAAATTGAAAAAACTTGTTATTGTTATTTTGTGTTATCCATCTTATTAAAGGCTTTATCACAAGGCAATTTGCATGGAGGGGCCAATCTAGAGGATCCTTGTATACTATTTCTTATGTGTAATTCTCATAAATCAAACTTCTTCACTACACGCACTAATAATGAAACTAATTTTGTAAGCAATTAATAAAATAAATAATAAATTTAAAATTGTATTGGCTATAACATAATGTACCACCTAAGGTACCTTTTTTATTAAATTTTCAGTGTCTTATTGGGACAAAAACCCACGATTTGTCAAAGTAATGAGATTATTTTTATTTACAGAATAAACTTTTTTTACTATTAGGTACTAAAATTCTCATTTATAATAAAGCAGCAATGTTGAACTTTAAAAAAAATGTTCATCCAACAAAGTAATGGTTGTTATCATATTGTCAAGGCAATAAGAAATACTTTATGTTTATATTAAATCTTTGTCGAACTTAAAATGTTTTTGTCAAATCTATAGTTGTGTGTGAATTGCGCTTACATAAAGTAATGTGCAGTTGTTATTTTACTATGGCATATTTGTCTTTTTTAAATTACTATGATTGTAATTCAAAATAATTTTATTTCAGTTAGAAAATCTTTGTTAATAGCTTACGTTAAGAACAATAACAAAAATATTTTATTGCTTTAAAAAGACTTTTTTAATATTTACTATTGTTTTGCAACCATTTGGTAAAAAAAAATTTGTTATTTTCCTTAAAAAGAGGGGGAAAGGGTGAACATAACTTTATAATCCAAAGTCTTTGTTATAATCTTATTGATTTCACTTGTGCGAGTGAAGTGTGGTAAAATTTAGCGTTATAAAAATATCAAAAAGATCAGTAAGAAAATTAAAATTTTGGCGTTTTCTAAAAGAAACATTTAAGGTCTATTCTATAAACGAAGCAGACTTATTGTTTAAAAAGTGAGATCATATTTTTTTTATTTTGTACATCATATAATATGAGTTAATTTTTTTGTTACAATAAATAAATTGTTTTAATGCCTTGCAATTATTAAAAAAAAACTACACAATACCCAACAGTAGGTTGAACATGGGAACATTGTTACAATTAAAATAGTTTATTGAATTAACAATTATTTTGTTGTTAAATTTACATACATTTTTTTAATAATATAAAAAAAAATATTTTAAACGAAAAGGGATTTGTAAAATTTACAAAATTTCTATAAATGTATTTACTCGGCTCCCAACGACATGAATTGTTATTAAATTAAACAGGATGATGTGAAGCGTCATAAAGAATTTATTTGTAAATTTTTATCAAATTCTGATCATTCGACACTCACTCCAGGACAACCTTAAGGAGCACCTTCAATTTATTTACAACGCAAAACAACTTTAGTCCAGGGGACGATCGGGAAAGCGCTGGAAAAAACTCGTGCTGCCTCCCAAGCGTTGCGCATATAAACTTTCCATAAATAATTATAATCATCATTTCGGTATATTTAGAAAAAAAACAACAAAATGATAAATAATGACAACAATGAAGTAGATTCTGCTAAGTACCCTAGCAATTTAAAGACTTCCTTCTTGATCTTGATTACGGACTTTTCTATAATTTTTATAATATAATTTTATAATTCGCAGTATTTTTACAAAAAGGGGTGGTATGTTATTTTCCTTATTATAATAAACTTTAGTATATTTTTATTAAAGTTAACCTTGGTATTATTATTGTCAAAATAGTTTTACCTCAATAAAGTTTATGGGTCGTTTTCAAAAAACACCCGCCTTCCGCTGTCCGTAAGTTTGAATTCCAATAACTTTGTTAAAAATTATCGGATCTTATTGATTTAACAACCAAGTGAAAGCCTAACAAGCCCTTAGTAAACTCTTTCAGAAAATGTTTGTTAAGTTATTTCAGAATAATTTTTTTTTAATTTTGAAACTTGTGAAACACACATTTTCGAATGTTCCATTAGCGTTTTATAAAACTTACATTACATACATGTTTTTTTTTAATATTGAATAGCCAGAACTTTGTGTTGCTTTATAGCAATCCATAACATCCTTAGTTAATACAGTAAACAATTTATATATAAAATAATTAATTTTAATATACTTTTTTTAAATTTGACTCATGTCCCAGACATTTTTTCCGTTGCGTTACGTCCGTCGCTTTACCGATAGATTATTAAAAAAAAACATATATATGGCAACTTTTTTGGCACTCACGTGATCAACAAATGATGTTCGGACGTACACTTTACCCAGCTGAATTTATTTATTCAATAAGGAAGAGGATATCGGTTGAAACAGGTGCGGGTAACGCGAATGTAATAATTATTTGTCCGCTAAGTTACTCAAAAAAATAATAAAAGTAAGGTAAGAAAAAAACATATTTTTCATGATTATGTTTATTTTAGGGCACCAAAGCTCATTGAGAGTAATTAATGACTGTAATGTCTTATTATTATTTTTTAAATATGGTTTCACAAAACTTTTTCCACTGCGTTACCGAGTCTATTATGTTACCTTATGGTAACGCAATGGAATTTAGGGTAACGCAATAGAATTTTTCGACAACAAAGTGGATATTTACCGTCGCTTTTATTAAAAGTAGTTTATGATAAACCAATTTAAAATTATTTGTGATTACAACTCATGATATAGATTACATCCAAGGGAAAATTCCACGTAATATACAAGTACTAAAAGGGACCTTCACCAGCTTATAGTTTAAGAAAAAGGGTGTCTACAATTTAGAAATCTAAGTTGCTATTCTGCAAGTGAGCACCACTACAAGGGATTTTGTTTATGCATTACTCTAAAATCGTACCACCCTTTATAGTCTTTTTTACATTATCTGATTAAGTCCTTTGTGTACCCCAGCCCGTTGTGATACCAATGTCTATTTTGTTACTTTTTTTTGTTAAAAAAAAATACTTAAAATGATTTTTATACACTATCACTTGGTAATAGGTGTTTATAAATTTATAAATATTAATGGTATTGTTTTTTTAACAAAGAATCGGAATGGTTTCTTTTAAAACGTAACTTAACATACATATTTAAAAAAAAAAGCATACAATTTTTAATAAAAAATTTTATTTCAAATTATTTTTATGACAACTTTTTTTATTGAATTAAATTTTGGATTTCAAATTGGTAACACAGTGGAGATATATAAAGCTAGCTAAACACATTTTTTTTGAAAAAAACGTAAAAAAATTAAAATGTTCACTGCCTGTCTTAATTGTAAGTAAACAAAACTCTAAACATTTATAAAAATCGAACCAAAAGTCAATTGAAGCAAAAAAAAATCTTCATTTTTCTGAAAGCGGGTGTTTCTTGAAAATTACCCTTATATCAAAATAATTTTTTTTAAGTATAAACATGTGTTAATTCAATAGCTATTTAATTTATTTAAAAAAGAACATAAGCCATAAACTTTTATAAGTCCATACTTAAAAACAGTTTAATGGTATAAGGAACTGCTTAGGATAGAGTGAGAATCCTGAATGAAATTTTATCAGGCGGCAAACTTACTGTTTTTCGCAAAAGTCCATGCGCGCAAAAGCCCGCCCCATTTAACTCTGAACTGCAATAAGCCCGGCTCCCGCTTTATTTTTCTGGCAAACTAGTTCTTCGTCTCGACCAGATTCAACAGACAAACACACCAAAAATATCAGGTAAATTTATTATTATTATTTACTCAATTATTTAGCATGTTGTTGCCAAATAAATCACATACCTACAAATATTTATATTTTTTTAAGGCTTATTCAATGATGCTAAATTATTCGATATGGATGTTGTTTAGCGTCGTGATCAACTTGGCGTTGTCGCAAACTGTGATCAAGGCTCATCTAGAGCCCTTGGACGCTTCGGAAACATTGGAATGTCACAAAAGGATGTATACGTATAGTGTCACTCAAACTGACGAAAATGGGAAATCTTGTCGCGATAAAGTTTCTGTGATGGCATGCTGGGGCAGATGCGATTCAAACGAGGTAAAAGTCTTTAATTACATTAGTTATAGTTTTTATACTGTCATATTTTTTAATAATTGATAAATCTATAAAAAATGATCCCTTACTACTTATTAACTCTCAAACTTAATGGTAAATTCGTTTTTTAACCCAAATTTTGTTTGTTTTATTTATTACTAAATATACTGCCCGTCAAAATTAACGCACAATAAGTAAAAATATTCTAAAACGCCTTTACCAATCTTTATAAAATTTTGTATAAAAATATTTCAACTTATATCTCAGTTTAAGTGTTCGAGGGTTTTTCAAAAAAATATTTTTAAAACTCTTTAATTAAATAATAAAAAAAAAGTTCTAAAAATAACTTTTAAGTAAATTAAAAATATGGTGTTAAAGACCGTATTTTTCTTAGTATACCCTAAAAATTTTGTACAAATCAAACGAACCCCTTTTTGATTATTTTGCTGAAAAATGGTCATTTTTGACGACTTTGAAGCGCTGTATTTTCGTTACTGTTCGTTTGATTTGTACAACATTTTCAGGGTTTACTAACAAAAATATGGTCTTTCCCAGGATATTTTTTATTTACTTAAAAAAAATTTCCCTATAAAAGTTTTTTTCGAGCGTAATTTATTATTAAATAAAAGGGCATTAAGAATATTTTCTCGAAAAACCCTTGAACACGTAAACTGAGATATAAGTTAGTATTTTTATCCAAAATTTTATAAAGATTGGTAAAGGCGTTTTAGAGTTGGATTTTTTTACTTGTTATGCGTTAATTTTGACGCGCAGTCTACAAAATTTTATTAGATACTAAATATAACACTAAATATAATTCATTAATTTTAATAATAATAATGGTGAATGAATGGTGAAAACCCCATGCTCACAAATTTTGACTAAATATTGTAGTATTATTTTACAGTTAAAAAAAATGGCTAATGCGCAGATTTAAATGAAAGATACAGGTCTGTATCTTTAATTTAATCCCGGCGCATTCGCAATTTTTTAAATTTTATAATAAATTATTATTATTATTATTAATATGTACTAAAATAGTTTATATTGTTCTTATTTATTGGTGCTTTAAAATTTTGCTGGTGTTGATCGTTTAATACAGAGCTGGCCAAGTACTGAGTACTTTTACTCGTAATTTAATTACGAGTAAAAAATACGAGTATTTTTCATTTGAAATACTTATTACTTACAAACCAAATTCAATGTACTCGTAAAAAATACTCGTGGAACGAGTAATATTTAAGAGTATTTCCGTTTATTATATCGATGTCTTTTTGCCAAAATATCTTAAGCATCAAAACATTTTGTTTGGAAGTCTGTTTTAAATTATATAATATATAGTATAATATAATATATTATAGCATATATGTTTTATAACAAGTATATAGGTAAAATTATAAACTATTTAAGAGTTGTTATTTTTATTTATTATTTTATGTACAGTGTGATCCCCTATAATGTCGCCCCCCCCTAGATTTTTATATTTTAAGTATTTAAAATACTTTTTTTACGTATAAAAAACTGGAAAATTAATCAGTATACAGGGAAAAACAAAAATTTTATTTTTTCTCAATGGATCACCCTATATATGAATTTATTTTTCGATTCCTTGTAAAAATCTAAGCATAATTTTTATATCTTACCACATACCTAAATTCAACCGTGTATGAAATATTTAAATTATTTTTAATAATAAGTTAAAATATTTTGTCTTTCTCGGTCTGAGTACGCCGTTTTTACTTACTTAACAAGACATATTGACATAATGTCACTATGGTTATTTATTTTCAATAAACATTTTGTCATTTTAAGGCTTCTTGATTTGTAAAAAAATATTTGATGTTAACGTTTTAAATGCGAATATTTCAGAAACGGTTAAAATATTAGGTATATGGTATGTTATATGATTTATGCTTAGAATTTTACAAGGAATCGAAAAAAATGTATGTATAGGGTGATCCATTGAGAAAAAATAAACTTTTTGTGTTTTCCTGTATACTGATCAATTTTCCAATTTTTTTTATAAGTGGAAAAAAAGTATCTTTTAGTACTTACATAACCACACTTTTAAATTTTTTGGGACACTTAAAATAAAAAAGGTAAAGGGGGCGACATTATAAGGGATCACCCTGTACCTATTGTACTCGTACTCTTTACTTGTAATTTCACGTAACCTCTTTTTACTTACGAGTAAATATTTTAAGTACTCGTACTAAAAAAAGTATTCGTACAATTATTGTACGAATACTTTTTTTAGTACTCGTGTCCAGGTCTGGTTTAATATTCTTTTTTAGATAGTAAAATTTACTTTTACAAATTTTTAGGGTAAAAATATTAAATATTCGTCAGTAAAAATGTTATACAATATACTATTTTTTATTATACAATTTTAGTAAAGATTACAACACCAATATTACTAGATTTTCGTATAGTAAATTGACTTTACTATCTTCAAATAGTAATATTTACTAAATGATTTTTTCAAATGTAACTTGTATACAAAATAATAAAATACACTATTTAATTTATTATGGGTTACGTATCCCTTATATTTAATTTTAAAATTTGTATTTATTTCTTTAAAAATATTTGTTTTAGTTTGTAAGCATGAATGTAATGTTTATCAAAATATTAAATATTTTTTAGATTATGTTGATTTATTACCACATAGGGCACTATAGTGGATTATACGTAAATTATTGGGCCAAAGTAAAACAGATGGCGACAAAGTTATTGAAAACATAAAAAGTTTATCTAATTCTCTGCTGTTTAAAGGTAATTCCAATGCTTTTTATGGCCATAATAACTTTTCTATCTGTTTTCATTTTGGCACCGCTAGTAAAACACCCAGTATATCTAATATTAAAATATATTACAAAAAATATAGTAAAAATAAAGGTACTTTAAAGTTCAAGGTCAATAACCAACATATTTAAATATAAAATACAATAAATTTTAACATTTTTGTATATAAAAAAGTTACAATTTTAATTTAATTAACATAAAAATATGCAATTTTAAAATATTTTATATTTAAAATAGCAAAATAATATTTTAAAATTTACTATACTTATTAGTAATGAAAAAAATCTAATTATAATAAGAATAAAAAACAGTGTTGGTTAAGAATAATAATATTTTACCTTAAGGTTAAATAGATATTTAAAAAGTACTAAATATGCATTGTATCTAGCAATATACAATATAGGTGTCCCAAATAGTAATATAAATTAAAGTAAACGGTATTATAATTATAATAATCAGTATTATATTTTCTCTCCCCACGAAGAAAAATGTATGTTAACGCATATTAAAATTTATATAATAGATAGTAAAATAAATTATTATATAAATTAAAATATTGGATTTTAATAAGTAAATAAAAATAATATAATCATCTTATGATTGAAGTTATGATACTGTTGATTAAATAGTATTATGTATATCATTTATTAATTTTACACTTTTAACTTAATATTTTATACAAATAAATAATATGTTAAAGCGCTTTAATATAAAATATTATTATATTTACAATATATCTTAATTATATTTTCATATTAAAATTTATCATAAGATTAAGCTGTCACTATATTTAACGTAAAATATAATAAATAGTATTACATTTCTAATATCATTTATTATATTTTTTCTCCGTGCGAGTATCCAACATTTATCCGTTTATGTGTGTTAATTCTTATTGATGTTTATATTTTGTCGTTTTACGTTTAGATTTCTGATTGGAGATTCCCGTACAAAAAGTCCAATCACCCGGTTTGCGTGCACTTCGGAAGAAACCGCTCGGTGGTGATACTAAGAAATTGCGACGAAGGTGTGATGCCGCTAACGAATCGTTACGAGTATTTGGAGGCGGCTGGGTGCAAGTGTCAACAATGTTCCTCCTCCGACACCAGTTGCGAGGGCTTAAGGTACAGACCGCACAGATCTCACCCAGATGCGCTGGGATTCAGAATCAACTGAGAGTACTCATTTTCAGAGAAGAAAACATAAAGAATTATTTACTTAATTATTTTTGGATTTGATTTGTATTAAAACGTAATTAATAAATTTAGATAATCTTAAAACCAATTGTACTTTTATTTTTGTTTGGTTCAAAATATCTATAGGTGTATCAATAAAAAAGTTTTTTATGTCTTATGTTTTATGTCTGATGTTTTAGGTCTTTTTGTGTTAAGCTCATAGTTACAATTGAGGGAAGCACAAAAAGAAACTTTTTGGTCAAATAGCATAAAACATTTTATGTTTAAAGCACAATTTTTTAAAACGATACATAAAACGTACAATAATAATAATTATTAAAAGTACAGATTGAGGTTAGATGGATCTGACAGAAGTACAATGTATTAAATTATACATTTCTACTATCTAGGCTGTTAAAAACTTAACCCGATTGGTCTAAATTAAGTGCCTTAAATTACTTTAGTAACGAGTGTTGACAATAATAACGTTTAAATTATGGACCAATTAAAAATACAAATATTTAAATATAAAAAAAAATTCTATTTAACTTTTAGAAAACATTTGATAGTTTTTCTCCAGGTAGGTATATAAAAATATAGTCCGTTAATAATTTTCTTGTTTCAATAATTTTTAAAACTATTTTTTCTAAAAAAGTCCTTGATCTTTCTTAAGCTTTCTTGGTTGAACTTTTAACCTTTTACTTATTATATATGTCAACCTTTATATTATTATATATGTCAAATATAAATTTAATAAATTAATAGATTCCGCAACGTAAACAATATCAATGTTTGTAAAGAATCGAAAGGCTTTAGCAAAAAATGCCACCCACTGATTTATTTTTTAATTTTTGAGGCGCTTCTTCCAGGTCTTCTTGAAATGTACAATCTGCAACATAATCTGAAATCCCAAGAAAGCCAAGATGTTTGGATTCTTAATTGTCTTCAAAATTTACAAAAAAAAATAAATTTTCAATTTGCACAGTAGGATAAATTTTTAAATGGTAGGACAAATTCACACAGTAGTTCAAAATTAAGGAGTATAGCTTTTGTCGTGCGTTCATTTATTTACTTTTTCTTACAAATAAGCTTTAGTATTCTCTATAATAAAATATAGAAATGCATTATGAGAAAGTATATTTCAAAAAAAAAATTACAATAGGAAATAATAATAATAATTGTATATTTAAATCTTTTTTGGACCCTCCGGTACATTTCTCTGGATATTTGGTGAAATGACCCTTATATTATAAACAAATCTTTAAATTCTACAAATTAAAATGACCTAAAAAAAAGTACCTAAATTTTAATTGTAAACTATAGTCCCGATTTCAAGAATGTTTGGAAAAGCGCAGTGGCGTTGTTTTCGTAAAATGTTTAGTGTTTTGAAAATGCATTAAATTTGACCATGTTTTTATAGTGTGTCCATAAAAAGACTCTATTAACTCTTTATAATATTATTATAGTCTGATAAATGCACATAGGTACCAATAAAAGCAAGTTTTTAACTTTTGGTTTAACTTTTTACAACTACAATACTAGAAATGCTACTCAATTAGGAACACATATTTTGGTAATCCAACAGTAAAAATAACACAGGGTGTTAAACCGACAAACGAATATAACAAATTCTAGGGATGTAAAATCATATGATATGGTCTAAATTTTTATAACATTATAATGTTAAATGGTCATATTTTGACTCCCTTTTGAAATAAACATTTTCAAAACGGAAATCTAAAGATCACCATTGTTAAATGGTCATATTTCGACACCATTTTGAAATATATATTTTTAAAAAGGGGGTCGGATGATGACCATTTAATATTAAACATAGTTTTATAACAAAACATACGAATTTGTTCAATGGGTTTTACTACTTAATGAGAGAAGTGACCAACAAGTAAGAACACACCACATGGCTAGCCGGCACTGATGAGCTTCAAAAGACTGAAACAGGGTGTATGTCAAATATAAAAATGTTTGATTTTAGGGTTATCTTTCTACAACAATTATATTTTGTTAGATTTCTCAAAAAGGTCCAAACTTAAATATAAATTATAAAGTGCTCTTTTTTAGTTCCACCCTTACATCCAAACTAAGATGTCCCATAAGCCAACTGAATGGCTTGTGCGGGTTAGGGGTAGAAACGGACCGACGGCTTAAAGTCCCCTCCGAAGGACTATTATATTAGTTATCATTATATCCATCAACAAATATACGTGTTGCAAAACATGAGAATTTAGTTCTTGAATTACAAACTACCGTGTATTGTGTACACAATATATGAATATTTTTAAGAAAGAAAATGTTGGTATTTATATTTATTATTAGATTTATGTTAAAAGGGTAAGAAATAGGCAAATAATAAAAATGCTTGATCTATAAACCTAATTCTATAAATAAGCCAAACGTAAACATCATAAAATTGTAATAATTTTTAAAACTTTTTGTAAATTTTTACGTTGTTTTGTTGTATATTATTAACATTAATATTAAAATATATAACTAAGTAAGTTATAGTTCGATTTTTTATAATTGGGGGTTTGCAATTTTTTTCACAATGTATGGACATTATTTTGTAGTAATTTTTGGAGACCCAGAAAATTAGTTATTATTGCTTAAAATATTTATATTTTTTGTATCAACCGATGACACCGAAAACGGGTGAAAAACTTATTTATTAAAAACTCGCTCCGCAAGCTCCGCAAGCTCCGCAAGCTCCGCTCATGCTTTATTAGACTCGTGTAGTAAATGACGTTTTAAAAACTAGTTACATAATAAACTATATTATAATTAGGAAAGTAGTGCACAATTTTTAAATCAAAGGATAATTTTGTATCAGTAGCATTATTATTCAAATAAACTTCTATTTTAAATCACTAACCATCTCAGTGGGACATTAATTTGCCAGTTTAATTGATTAAACTATTGAATTTATTTAAATAATTACATGTTGCACAAAACCAATAAAAACTGAGTCACCTTGCAGCTGTATTAGGTTTCAATTTTACCGAGTAAACATTAAAGTTTAATTTAATTTCGGAAGTGGAGAAAATAAAATTCTTTCAAACGTTAACGCTTGATACAGTTTTTTGTTACTAACATGTGTAGGAGGGTTTTAAATTTTCAAAAAAAAATCCCAAGCGACACGTACAAATTTGTTTGCCTAAGCATATTGGGTTAAGATTTCAAATACCACTTAATCAAATAAATCTGTTGGTGTGGTTCTCACTTATGGAATGCTGGGGAAAAAAAATTAAAATTATAACTAAACTAAAGTTTACGTGTCCGAGCGTTTCTCATAAAAAAAATGTTCTCATCGAATTACGAATTTTATTCCATAAGTGAAAACCACACTGTGTATCAGAAAATTTTATCAATCTGTAAATGTAGGTAATTTAAAATAATAGTATATTTGCAATAATGGTATAAAGGAGATAATGCGCATAACTTCGAGACTTCAATTAGTAGATAATAAATTTTTCAAAAATAAAGAAATAAAATTTCACATCTGTCAGATGGTTAACCTTACATTCTCCCAATTTTAAATATTATTTTAGTGCCTTCTCTCAATTTAAGACCCGATTGGTTTAAATCACAATGAAAATAAGGATCGGCCAGTTACTAATGCCTAACAACACGAAATAGTATATTATTATACGAAAGATAATCCACATAATCCAGAGTGTAATACTATACTTTATGTACTCCAATATGTAGATAATTAAATAATTTTCCAAAATAAATAAATAAAATCTAACATGTCAAATTGTTAACCTCACATTTTACCAATTTTAAATGTTATTATAGTCGCCTTCTCCCAATTAAAAAGCCGATTGGTTCAAATTATAGTGAATATTAAAATTCTCCATTGATGCCTAACAATGAGAATAATGAGTTCATTATTCCCGTTGTTAGGCAGGGTAATTCATCATTATTCACGAAAAAAAAACAATCTTATACAATAAGAGTAGATAAAGTTTATTATTCCCGTTGTTAGGGGAGGCGGATATAATGGTTATCATTATATCTTGAAAAACTCAATAGTATACAATTTTCTAACTATGTCACACTGCATTATCATATTATAAGCAGTCAAAAAAATAATTATATTATGAATCAAGTTTGATAAATCAAATTTTAGTCAAGACTTTTAATAAGGCACGAGCGAATCTTGCGAGCAAATCTATAGTCCATAAACGATGAAAAAAAATTAAATAATTTTCAACCTTAAATAATGTAACATCTATCAGTCGCTTTATTTTGACGATTGTATGATATTTGCAACTACACATTTTATTTACAATAATAATTATTATACAAGGGCACATTATCACGATTGTATGACATTTGATTACTGTCAACTAACTTAAAGCTAACTTCATCCCGTGACTAAAACTATAACGCTATAAAGTCACAGCTTGTCAATGTGTATTTAAAAGATCGTTTTAAAGGTGGGACTGAACAAAATTGTTACAAGATGGATTTATATTTAAGATTACTAGTTAAAATTACCTGTTACCTGTTATCTGTCACCTGTCATCTATCATCTTTTATCCGTCACCTGTCACCTGTCATCTGCCACCTGTCATCTGTCACCCGTCAGCTGTACCCTGTCATCTATGTTGGGTTTCTACAGTATGTGATTTGAGTAAAAAAAAATAGTATAGTATATTGTTCAACAATTGCAAAAGTAGGACATTTCTAAATCGTTGAACACTATTTTTTTTCTAATTTTATTAAAGAATTTAGTACAATTTTGAGTAATAACCTTAAATACAGATTCGCTGACAAATGTCAGTGAAATTAATTTTTAAGAAAATAATTACTAAAAAGCTAAAATAGCAATAAACAAAAATAAAAACAAGCTAAAATTACAAAAAATTTAGGTAACGATTGGGTAAAATGACCCTGGAAACACCCTGTACTTATACACCAAATATAACCGATATCGATTTTGGCATTTTTTTATTTTATAAAATTTTATAAAGCAAAATGAGATCATTTGTGTGTTTTTAA